GTCATAATAAAGACAATTTGCATTTCTATAGCTGACCTTTAAGCAAAAATTTCACACCAAGCAGAAGTAAAACTGCTTCACAGAAATACATAGGAAAAGCTAGGATTCAATTTGTGAAAACCAAAGCCCATCTACCACCTCTGGCTCTCAGATGGTAGAAGGCAACAGGGTTCCTTTGTTAGAAAATCAAGAAAACAAAGCCGTGGCACTTGTAGGAAAGCTGAACTTGGTTAGTTTCCCCAAATTAACATCTTTCTTCCCTAGAAAAGATGTGCTTATTGCCCCTTTGCAGAAGGGGTAGGATGGTGAGTGACAGAATGGTCACTACTGCCCACCTTTCATACCCTGGAGGCACTTTGGGGATCCTAAGTGGCAGAGGAGAATATTTGTAGGTTGCTTTGCTCTCATTTAAAATTTTTCAGCATCATGCCCATTAGGATACCTGTGATTAGAGAAAGAGAAAATAACTGTTGGCAAAGATGTGGAGAAATTGGAACTCTTGCGCACTGCCAGTGGGAGTGTAAGCGGGGTACAGACGCCATGCACAACAGTATGGCGGTTCCTTGAAACTGCAACACAGAATTACCATATGATTCAGCAATTCCAGATCTGGGTATATCCCCAAAAGATTGAAGGCAGGGACTTGAACAGATCCTTGTACACCCATGCTCATGGCAGCACTATCCACAGTACCAAAAGGTGGAAACAACCCAAATGTCTATTGACAGATGACTGAATCAACACAATATGGCACATACACAGAATGGAGTACCATCCACCTTGAAATTCTGACATGTTACAACATGGATGAACAGAGAAGACATTATGTTCAGTGAAATAAGCTGATCACAAAGGGACAAATACGGTGTGTTTTCACCTATAGGAGGAACCTAGAATAGTCAAATGCGCAGAGACACAAAGTGAGTACCAGGGCCTGTGGTGCTGGGGGACAGGACTTTCCTGATTGATGGAGACAGGGTTTCCATTCAGAACATGTTAGTCTTGCTGAAGGATTGTGGGGGATGCTTACACAGCATGTCAGTGTGCTTAATGTCACTGATTTGTTTAGGTACAAAAAACTAAAATGGTAAGTTTTATATTACGTATATTTAACCACAACAAAAACTTGTGCTTTTAGCCATGCAATACTTGTACCAGAGGAGGCCTTGAAGGCTCACTCAGTGAAAAGCTACAGGCACGTAGATAAGGATGAACAAGTACCTTTCAGACACTGACGTTTTTCTTATGAATATATATGCTGAATACTAAACAAAGGCACACATTTTGAGGTGGTGTTCTCACGGCCACAGAGTGAATGGCACATATTGGGAGTTCCTGGTGGAGCAGTCAGGCGCTGGCTGGAGTGGGAGGGGACAGCTACACTGGCCTGAGCTCCCACTTTGGAGTAGAGTACTTATGCAAACTTTCAAATAAACTCATTAAAATGGAAAAAAAAAACACATAAAAACCTGGACACTTCTATATAGCAAAAGAAAGCTTTCAAATTGAGATTTCACGTGTTGCAGGCAACCAAGGGTCGACATTTTGAGCTATGGGAAATTTGTATTCACATTTAACAAGTTTACCTTATGCAGGTATCCACCTGAAAAACAAGTAAAGTTAATTTTGTTAGACTGATAGAAAAAGAATTGCAATAGTGCTTAAAGAAGTTAAACTTGGTTTAATCTCCAACATCATTCTATAATAAGCATGTACGCTAACAGACCTTAAGTGACTTTTTTTCCTGCCTGGGGTTTTCTCAGAGGCACTCCCCCCTACATTCCACCTTTAGATACTCGGGAAGCCTCCCTGTGACTTCACTTCTAGGTTGTTCTAGGCTTCTCCCCAGCGTCCCCATAGACCCCTGCACTTCGCTGGGACACAAAAGTATGGTTGACTGTCCTGCACCTGCAGTGACTACCTGCCCGGCAGGGGGAGGCCCTGGCCGCATCCCCGGAGGGAGGGCAGACGCCCCATATGCGAATATGATAAAGACGTTTACTAGCAAGGAAAGATGCTCTCCAGGTTTTTGTAAGGAGTTGCCAGGCCGGATGAGTCCACAGCGGTCAACTGTTCGTCTTTCCTTTTACTTGTGTTTTAACATTTTTCTACCACAAAGTACCACCTGCGTAATTAAAGAACAAAAGCTACGAAAGCAAACGCAAAGAGAGGACTGGCAACACTGACCTCACCTGACCACACGGATTAGTGGTGGCGGAGCAGAGTCCCGCGCTCCTCCTCTCCTTAAACTCAGGGTCTCCAGAAGAAAACAAAAACCTTCGGCAAACGTATAAACTTTGGGGAAAAGACAAAAATTCCCTTTGTTCTAAGCAACTTGCTCAAGTCCCCACCAGCAGGGCGCCCCCCCCCCCCCAGGGCTTTAGCGCCACTGGACTCCCCTGAGGAACTCGGCTGAAGGTGTGAGGGACGCAGGGCTGCGGGGGCAGGGGCGCTGAGAGGAGGGGCGTGGGGGCCTGTGAGGAAGGGGTGGGGGGCCTGAGAGGAGGGGGTGGGGGGCCCTGAGAGGAGGCGGAGGGGGTCTGAGAGGACGCGGCGGGGAAGGGGGTCTGAGAGGAGGGGGCAGGGGGCCTGAGCGGAGGTGGTGGGGGGAGCCTGAGAGGAAGGCGCAGGGTGGGGGGGCCCGAGGCGAGGGCGCGGGACGGGGGGGTGTCTGAGAGGAGGGCGCGGGGCCTGAGGAGGGCGCGGGGCGGCGGTCTGAGGGGGGCCTGAGGGGAGGGCGCGGGCACGAGGGCTCGCCGCTCCGGGCCCCCCAGCCCCCGGGCACGGAAGCGCAGGGTGGCGGCCTCGGCCGGACGCGGTCGCTGTCCCCGGGGTGGCTGCAGGGCCCGCGGCTGTCTCTTGCCCTCCCGCCCGCCCCCGACGGCGCCCGCGGTGGCCGTCCTCCCGCGCTGACCTCCGACGCCGCGCCCAGCGCCCGCCCGCCCGGCCGAGGCCGAGTGGCCGAGGGGAAAGGAGCCGGGAGGCCGCGGGCCTGGCGTCCGCCCGCCGCGCCGTGGCCGCGCTCCCCCGCCGGGGCCGCCCGGGGCCCTCCCCGCCGCTCGCGGCCCGCGCCCTCCCGCCGCACTCACCCGGGCAGCGCGGAGGTGCAGTCGCGCGTTGCCGGGACAACGGCTGCGCGCCGCGCGCGGAAACAGCCGAAGGTGAGCGCGGCGGACGCCAAGGCCGCCCGAAGCGCTCGAGAGGCCGGAAAGAGCCGAAGACGATCGGGAGTGTTCGTGCGGCGCCGAGGGCCCGGGCGTCCCGGCTGGTCCCCGGCGGCTGCGAGCTCCGCCGCCCGCGTCTCCCCGGGTCGCAGCCGCTGTCTGGAATCAACGATGCCAGGTCGGAACAGGGAGCCAGGAGGTCAGGAGTCGCCTGTCTGCGCACAGCGGGAACCGGTGGCGTCCTTGCAGGTATGATGAGGACCGGCTACCGCAGCTACACCTGTCCGAGCGAGTGGGGGGAGGCGCGGACAGCCAGAAGCTCAAGGTGCACCTTCGTGCTGGGCCTCTGCGCCGCACACCGTTGGCTGGGCTGCACTTTGTCTCATCTCCAGGAGGAGGGTGTGCTTGGAGAGTATTTCTGAGCAAAGCCAGCGGATTCCAGGTAACTTGACGTGTAAGGGACTCCTTCGGTGAGAAGGTGGCAGGAGGGTACGCTCTGCTTCATCGCATCCCCGTCGGAAACCAGCCTGACTCCGGGGACGGGTTGCGTTCCCAGAGGCGCTGCAAGGTGTGCCCTGACCTTTTCCGTCAGGTGGTTTCAACTTCGAAATTGACTTTGAATAACAAAGGAGCGTCTTGTCATTAAAGGAAAAAAAAAAGTTGCTACGGCGAAAAGGTACCATTGTTAAATAGATGAAACGATAAAAGAGGAAAGTTCAGATATTACTGGATCCGACAGTTTGGCTGCCGGATCATATAGGTACAGGGAAGATCCCATTTTTTAAAACCTCATTTTCTGGACGGCTGAGTGGCTCAGTGGGTGAGCGTCTGCCTTTGCCTCGCTGCGCGGAGCCTGCTTCTCCCTCTGCTTGTGTCTCTGCCTCTTTTTGTGTGTCCCATGAATAAATAAATCAAATCTTTTAAAAAACAAAAACCTCGTTTTCATGGACACTAGAACTTTTTTTATTGAAAACATATGTAGCATTGTGTACGTTTAACATGTACTGTGAAGTGCTTTGATATGCTCATGTTGTAACATGCTGATGTGATGTGAGTCCTATCACGTAATTACAGTATAGGATCATTGTCTATGATCGTCTCACTGTGCATTAGGTTCCCGTAGCTCATGACAGCCCCTTACAGGCCTCGACCCTGGACCCTGGATCCTAGACACCATGTCTCCTGCCCTCCATACATTAGGTCCCTACGGCTCGTCACAGCTCCTTACAGGCCTTGATCGTGGACGCTGGACCCTTGACCCTGGACACCAAGTCTCCTAACCTCCCCCCCGCCCCCATAAGACACTAGAAGCGAGCACACACTCCTCTATCGCCATGACGGAGAACCATGGCCCGAGTGTCCAGCGCCATTCACTACGCTACGGAATTTCAGAAGCACACGCTCAATCTAGTGAAGGAAGCGCCTACGGGATCCAACTGCACTTTTACATTACTCTGTAGTTTAAAACCCGGTTCGCGCCGGATTCAAGGTTCCGAGGTGAGGCGGTGTTTTTCTTCTCACGCATCCGTCAACACGGCCCCGGCCAATCAGGGCCAGGCCTCTGACCCCATTGGCTGCCGGTCCCCCAATCCGGAGACACGCACTGGGCCGCACGGACGCGAGGTCGGCAACACAACACAGCCCGCGCCGCGGCCCCGCCCCGCGTCCGTACGTGCGAGCGCGCGCGCCCGCCGCTGGCCAATGGCAGTGCCTCCAGGGGGGCGCGCCCGCTGGAAACCCCGGGCGTGCGCGTCCCCGCGTGCGTCGTGCCGCCCCGCCCCGCCCCCGCCCCGCCCCGCCCCGCGCGTCGTCCCCGCCGTCTCCGCCCGGCCGCCGTAGCCGGAACTGCTGCTGAGCGCGGCGACCTGGGCCTCCCGGACCCGAGCGGCGGCCGCAGCATCGGCGCCCGCAGCCTCGTCTGCCGCTCGCCGGCCGCGGAGGGCTCGTGCCGGGGCGCGCGCCGCGCGGCCGCTGCTTCCGAAGCGGGACGACCACACCGGGGTCGCGGCTTCTGTGCAGCGGGCGCTCGGGGGCCGGGTCTGCGCGGCCTGGCCGGTCCTGCGGGCGCCCGGGCGGCCCCCGGGGAGCCTGCGAAACCAGGCTGCTGCGAGGCGTTGATGAAGAAGGTGACTGGTGGCAGGGGCTCGGGAGGGGTGGGCCCCGCGCCCGGCCGTTAGGGCGAGGCCCGGCCCGCGGGAGCGGGGAAGGGCCTGCGGTTCGCGCGCGGTGCTTTGTCGGGGTGGCCCGGGCGGGGGGGGGTCGCGACCGGACCCGGCCGCGGTGACAGCTCCCTTTGTGCGCAGCCCGCCTGCGGCCCGACGCGGAGGGTCTGGCTCTTTCCTTCCCGAAACCCGGCGAACGGTGTCGGGGCCGACTCCGCCCGCGCGCGCGGTCAGGAAGGAGCGCTGGAGGTTTTCGGTAAAGGGATTCCATGCCCGTGGCTTCCTTTTCCTGTAGGGGGGAGCTCCGATGTGTGTCAATATCCTCCCAGTTCCGAAAGGCCGAGTCTTCCCGTGCCCAGCCTCGTGTCAGCCAGGACTCCGCCAGGCAGGCGGGCAGATGTATTGTGTTGTGGCTGCTGCGTGCCCTGCTGGGTCCTGGCTTCACTCTGGGCAGTCGGGGGCAACAGGTCCCTGGGAGGAGGGTCTTCACATTGTGCCCCGGACAGAGGCCCTTCCAGGTATTTGCAGGTCCCTTAAGCAGGGATGGGAAGGTGGAGAAACGGACGTGGGAGAAGTCCGGTGCCACCAAGTCCCTTAAAAAAAAAAGAAAGTTTGGGTATTTGTCCCGTATAGTTTTAATTTTTTGTCGAGGTTTTTGCTTTTCTTGTTTTAACTAGCCTCAGCTAAGCCAGTCAAATGGTTTGTAAGTCCAATTCCAATGGATAAAGCTGTTACAGGTCATTTTATGACAAAGTGCATCAGAGCCGTAGTAGGTGTTACTCTGATTTTTACTCATTTGCGCACCTTCCAGCGAGAAAGTCCTTGTCCCTGGTTCTGTATTTCACGGTTGGCCCTTGATGCCTTTGTTCACTTTTCCTTTTTTGAAATGGAAACGTTTTCCTCCTGGGCAGTTGTGTTGACACACAGCTTGGGCACAGTGTCAACACCTGTTGAGGAATCTAATATTTATCCTTCTTGTTTTATCACAGATACACATTCCTGGCCCGTGTAGGGCTCATAGTGTTGATACTAACCTGATTGAGTTAATTTTTTGAGTGGGTCTGCATTCTGGGACGCAGGCATCGTTAGAGTTTTGTTGTCGTTGACATTTCACTCGGCCGTGGGTCACGAACCGAATGCCACAATTTTATTAGCAGTTGTCCAGTTTTTGCGCAGCCCTCTTCTGCTGCTGCTTGCATTTGGATCGCGACATGCCCGTGGGGTCGCCTGCACGGGTGGCTCCCACCTGTTTCACGCCACCAGCTCCTTTGTTGCAAAAGCATTTTAAATTTGTGAATCTCCTCGGCAGCACACAGCTCCCACCCTGGGAGGCAAGATTCCCAGAAAGCCCGAGCTTATTATGACTCTTTATGTGCGTTTTAAAATGAGCAGGTGGCCCGGCCGCCGCGGGCCACCGTGGGGTCCCCCGTGCAGGCAGGCGGGGTGCACCCGGGCCCACCTGCGGGGCCGGCGTGCGGGCAGGTGCGCGGCCCAGAGCCCCGGGCGTTTTGGGGGCGGGGAGGGGTGGGGTCGGGGGCGCGGGCGCGGGCGGCGCGGGGAGAGGCCCCTCGCGCAGGCCTTGAGCCGCGGCCCGCGGGGTAGGTGCGTCCCGCCCGGCCCGACCCCGGGTCCCCGCCCCCCCCTGCCCCCCCCCGCCCCCCCCCGCCCTCACCCCGCGACCCCGCCGGCCCGGGCGCCGCGCGGGCAGGGCCGTCCGCACTCGGGCCCCGGGGCTGCCCGCCCGCCGCCTCCGCGCCGCGGGCCGCGGGGTCCTGGTCCTGGGGGCGGCCGGGGCGGCGCGGCCCGGCCGGGCGGCGGCGGGGCGGCGGCGGCGGCGGGCGGGCGGCCGGGAGGGGATCGGGAACAAACAACGGCGGCCATGTTGAGAGGGCATCGGTGCACTAAAGTTGTGGGGCCGGCTGCCGGGCGCGCGCCTCACCGGGCCCCCCTCCCCTGCCCGGCCAGGATGACAGTGAAGTTGGGAGACGGCGGCGGCGGCGGGGAGGACGGGCTCAAGCGGCTGGGGAAGCGCTCGGCCGACGACGACTCGCTGGAGGGCGAGGGGCCCGGCGGCGGGGACGCGGCCGACGACAGCGGCGCCACAAAGAGGGACGCCAGGCCCCCCCGGGACGGCGGCGACGGCCCCCCGGGCCCCGCGGGCGGCCCCCCGGCCGGCCCCCCGGCACCGGCCCCGTCTCCGCCGCCCGCCGGCCCGCAGGACCAGCACCACTTCCTCCGCTCCAGCGTCAGGCCGCAGAGCAAGAGGCTCAGGAAGGACTCGTCGTGCGCCGGCGGCAGCGGCGGAGCGGGCGTCTCGGGGCCCCGCGGAAAAGGTGAGGGGTGTGGGGGAGGGGCGGGGGGACCGGGGGGCCTGGGGGGACCCGGGGAGCCCGCGGCGGGAACCGCCGCCGCCGCCGCCCGCGCGCAGGACACCCTCCCGGGCCGCACAATGGATTCCTGGGGTGGGCTCGGGCTCCCCGCGAGGACCGCGACCCGCTCCGGCCTCTCAGGCGCACACAATGGTGCGGCGGGACCACAATACCTGCTGGCTCTGTCCCGCTTGGCCAGACCTGCAATAAAGGACCCCTGTCCCAGGAAGCCAGAGGTGACGGCCGGCGCCGTCCCACTTGGGCCATCGCCCTCTGCCGCGGGCCCTCTGGGGGCCTCAGGGTGCAGCCCTTGGAGCCTTGGGTGCCGCAGAAACTGCCCCCCCCCCCCCCCCCCCCCCCGCGGCAGGAAACACTTGAGGCCCAACACAGCAGGGAGGGGTCTCCGCCTTTGCCCTGGTGCTCCGGGTAGGGTCGGGTCTGGGGTGGTACAGCCTCCTGGGGTCCCCACCCTGACGATAGGAAAGCCACGTGCCAGTGGCACTGCTGCTTTCGCTTGTTTATGCTTCTGCATTCTTGATCGTGCACTGAGCTCCTCTCACCATCCTTTTCATTTCAGGCCAAGTTTGCAGCACTTTTCTAGGTAGCAGATGTAACCATTCCAGTGAGTTTTACAGGAAAAAAAAAACAAACTTAGTTCTTTGGAGGAAATGGTAATTTAAATTTTTTAGAAACCCTTGAAGATTTGAAAAAAGAAAGATTTCAGAAACTGAGGGAGAACCATTTTTGGAGACCTGTGCCCAATGTGTACAATTACACATGCTCCCGCCATCGCCTTACCTGAGGAGGGCTGGCCTCTGAAATCATCCTGGCCTTACCAGGTTTTTGGTAAAGATCCTTGATGAAAGCCTTGATGATGCTTAAAGCTGCGAGTTTGGGGTGATTTAGTGTGTTCTGGAAATCAAACCTTGGGTCCTTATGCATTTATGTTGGTGTGAAAGCTGCTGATCAATTAAGAAAGTGTTGATGGTTTAACAGCTTTACTTTGTAAAAAAGTAGTTTTTCATTCCTAGTTACAGGTGTGTTATCACCGATAAGCTCCTGGAATGCCTTCAAGGGTTTGTTTGTTTTTGGCCTCAGACGCCCCAGCAGCATCCATGGCCTTGCCAACAGGGCCCTCTGACCTGCATCTACTTGTTTGCCATGTCGAATCCACCAGAAGGACACGCACCTGTGAGATGAACAGCACTGATGCCCAGATGCAACAGGGTGGTGGAGTGAAAGCGCTGTGTCGCCTGTAAATGCCCACCTGTGGGTCAGGCAAAGTGGTGCTCACGCTTCAGTGTGCAGGACACTTGGTGGCCAGGTGATGAGGGAAGTCTGCATTTGTTGGCATAGTTGAGCGAGGCTCAGACGGAGAAGGGCTCCTGGATTAGCCTCACATCAGTCGTTGGCACCCCTGTCCTTGGTTCTTGTCCCAGTGTGTGGCTTGGAGCAGCAACTGACTTTCCGCTAGGAAGATGGAAATTGGTTAGAATTGGTGCTTCTTGTGACTTTTATATATTTTACTGTTTTAGGAAGCAAATATTTCTTTAAGTTAATAATAAAGCTAAACCATAATGGTGGCTTTTAGGAATAAGAAGCATGTCTGCTTTGCTTCACAGAAATCATTGCACCTGGAGTTGCCTGGTGGGACCTGATCTTGTCTGTACCTGTCATTGTACCCAGGACACCCCGTCCTCATGCCTCCATAACCTCTGCTTGCTTATTATCTCCGTTAGCAGCCAGCAACGATCTGATTCTGACAGCACGCCTGGTAACCTCTGCGGACATTTCTTAGAGGACCGTTTGTCTTACAGACTTTGAAAATCTCCACCTGGGGTCCTGAGTGCGGATCAGTGAGGAAACAGAGTCCTGGCATTTGTTAGTTTTTCAGTTGAAAACAGTATAATTTCCATTATGCTTGAGGAATCCTTCTGGCCCAGTCGTTGGTGGTTCTTTGATCATTTAACTGCTCTTGCAGTTTGAATCTGAACAGACAGGCATCAGAAACTTGCAGTGAGTTTGGAGGAAAACTTGTGGGGAAAAGGAAGTCTGCCCTGTGATTCTGTCCACACCACTAAGTTTTCTTTCTCTCTAAGAAGACGTTCTTTTGTCAGCTTCAATGATTAACAATTCTTTTGTAGTACAATTCCAAATTCGGTTCTTTTTGAATTTTAAGGGGCAGGGAGCTGAGACTTAACATCTGTGTGTCACACGTCTTACATCTCTGTTACTCTTATTTTTTTAAAGGAAAGAAACTTTATTTATTTATTTTTATTTATGATAGTCACCCACAGAGAGAGAGAGAGAGAGAGGCAGAGACACAGGCAGAGGGAGAAGCAGGCCCCATGCACCAGGAGCCCGACGTGGGATTCGATCCAGGGTCTCCAGGATCGCGCCCTGGGCCAAAGGCAGGCGCCAAACTGCTGCGCCACCCAGGGATCCCCCGTGTTACTCTTATTTTAAATGGTCGCAGAAGCTGAGGTTTGTTCGTCTAATAATGTGTTCGACTTAAACAGAAGGTAAGCTGCAGGCCAGAAACCAGTAGATGTGCTTGATGCCATTGCACAGATTCCTCCTGCCCCACTGTGATGCCCAGAGTGACTCGAGGGTGCCTTTGAGAGTGAGACTCAGAATTCATGGATCTGTAAGAACCTGGTCCAGGACACAGCCCCCGAGGCCCTTATCCCTCTGGCCAGTATGCGATTTGGGTGATGCTGGGCAAACTGATCTCTTTCTTGGAGCCTCAATTTCTCTCTCTCTAAATGAGGGTAATGCCAGTGCCTGGCTCACCACAATAAATAACACAGCCCAGCCCTGCCATATGTGGTTAAAAGGCTCCCAAGTGCTCCTGTTATTGAAAATGTGGATAGCTTTGAGGTTAGGGAACTACAGAATCTGGACAGGTAGACTGGGTTGGTCGGGTGTCACCTGTTGGGAGGTAGAGAGAGAGAGGTCTCAGGAATGCCCCTGAACTGCTGCCTGTCCTATTGGGACAGTCGAGGTAAGCTCAGGGTAGACTCTTGGTTTCTCTGCTGCCCTTCAGCTCCCCACCCGACCCCATTGCCTCCTCCCAAGAACCTTCATTCCACCCGACTGCCGACAAGCTGGCCATCTCCACAGTTGTGCAACGTCACCAGGTTTCACTGTGCTTGTGCTTAGAAATCAGCAGATCACCAAAGAGAACTTACCTGTGTTTTACCTTAAGTACGGGCTGCTTGTAGTTTCTAGGTGCTTTTAAAACACAGCATATGAATCACCCCAGTGTGGTCAACCTTTGGGAGACGAGTACCATACTGGAGAGAGGGGTGAACCAGCCATCAGGAGGCCCGGTTTCTCCCTGTAGAGCTGCTTTGGGGCTGGCTCAGCCACACAGGGAAAGGCCTTGAGGTGCCCAAACTTATGTTCCTTACGTCCAAAATGGATTCAGTGAGATAGTGCTTAAAGCTGCCCTGACCTTAACGTTTAGGGGTGAACAGGTGAACTGTGTAGACGGGGCTTGGATCCTATGTTTTGAGAGAGCATTCTTTAAGGTCGGTTACCTGAAAACAGGGTAGCTGTGTGTCTATGGGCTCTGCGTGGCCCTGCCTCTGGGGGAAGCCTGGGCAGGGAGTGGTCAGAGTGCCCCCTCCACCCAGGGGCATGCCCGCATGTCATGCAGGTACAGTTTGCTTGTCTGCTCTGCAGTCACTTGTGTTGTCACTTCTTGGGCATTTGGTCCAGGCCCCAGGACTGGTTGAAGTATGGCCGTGCATGACACAAACTCCCTGTCCCTCATATTCTGAGGATGGAGAGGGACAATCAGATTGTCACAGACCACGGACGCCATAGTGCTCTTATTCTTAACCCGGTGTGACTCAGTAAGTAATGTTTAATAAAATCAGGTGCAGCGACAACGGTGTGGAGCCCACTGTGGCCACCTGGGCAGGGGCATCGGGCTTTGCTGAAAGCCCTCCGACCTTGTTGGGAGAAGAGGAGGAAGGCAAGGCGTGCACCTGCCACCCTGTGTGGTGCCGCAGAAGGTGGAACACACAGTAACACACATCCTATCGCGTGACGGGGACACCCTGTGCACGGTAGGTCAGGAGACCTGTGTCCCTGGCCACTTCAAAGACGATCCCTGCTGGACATGTGCAGGCTAAAGAAGAAAACACCTGAAACCCAGGGGCTTTTGGTAAATTACTAAGTTCAGAGTCGCATGGATCCCTCTGCTTCACATCGGAGACAAGGACAGACAGCGTAGATGAGTAGATGAGGTAACGTTTGAATATTGGTTTTAAGCCTGAGGTACTTTCTAAAGACCTTATTGGCTTTTAACGTCAAAACTAACGTTTCTATTGTGGTTACCTGTGGAATCGTCCTTTGCCCACCAAGGATACTGTAGGATTTTCATTTCACGTCGTGTGCGGTGTCTTGTTCTGGATCATACGAAGGTATGAGGCTGGTAGAGGCAGGATTTCGGACAGCGACGTAAATGCGAGCACGAGCTTCGCGGTAGGCGGTGGAGCCTGGAATTGGCCTGGCGGCCAGCCTGAAAAATGCCAGAGGAGGAAGTCGCATTGGCGAGGGGCATCGAGAATGACCGACCAAGTCTTCACCTTCTTTGATGAAGAATGCAGATGTTTTCAGAGAAACAACGAGGTTTTAGTGATGCTCTCAGACATTTTAGAGAGGCGGTGCCCATGGGGGAGCCCAGCCCTGGGAGCATGGAGGACGTGAGGCGCCACGGCAGCGCCCGGGGTCCCCCGACCCTGAGGTCCCGCATCCCCTTTCGCTCATGGAATAGGTGTCAGAGGGGGGCGCCCTGCCCGGGGCTGCAGGGGCTCTCGGGGCCATGGGGCCACAGGGCCATAGGGCCATGGCGGCCGTGCTCCTCTGCAGACACTGGGTCAGGCTGAAATGGGTGGAGGCCGCAGTGGGGGGCGGAGGCACCAGGGCAGCCTGCCAAGGCGACGCCGCCTTGAGGGGGAGTGGCCTCAGTCCTCATCTTCCCGTCTGCGGCCTTCGTGGAGAGGGTGCCCCCTCAGTCATGTCTGGGCTCTGATGTGAGCCTGGGGGCCTGACACGGGTGACGTGCGCTACGAGGGGCATAGGAGTGGCCCCCGGAGACCTTGGCTTAGCGCCTCCTCCTCGGTCGGTCGCGGCACGTTGTGCCCTGAGGTGGCCAGGGAGTGGAGCGGGTGTGCCACCCTTGGCCTCGTACCGCAGACCTGGCCCTAGGAGGTGGCCTGCGCCACCAACCGCCTGCCCTTGGCTCATGCGGGGGTGTCTTTGCAGCCGACAAGGGGCAGAGTGAATGAAGCAAGGGGAGCCTCCCGTGTTCTCCCCTCCGGGGACTTCACTGAGCAGCTCGTAGTGCTGGTCTGCGCCCTCTCCGCTAATGTTCCGACCCTGCCAAGGCACTTTCTCAGACTCTGAAAGAAAGCTCTGGGCCAGTGAGTTGTTGCTCGGTGGGACAGGTTGGCACATCTTCTGTCTCTGACCTGAGTTAAGTTGCACGGGTTTGTTTTTAGAGGTGGACATCCTCCCGTGTCTTAACTCCTGCCATTCATTAGCTGTGCGGCTTTGGGAACGTCACTGAACCGGTCGGTCCCCTTATCAGACTGAGCAGGGGGTGTCGAGGTCCAGTTCCCTCCCATCTCGCATCCCTGGATTCTGTAGCTCAGAGCATAATGAAGATACGGAAGCAGCCGTGATGCCAACAGCAGCCACCACGGTGCCCTGTGGCTCAGGAGGCAGATGCCCAGACTTGGTTCTGGCTGTCCGGTGACCTTGGCCCACCTCTGAAATGTGGACAGTAGCTACGCACCGAGAGTACAAAAGGGAGTGAAGCGTTTGCACGTGGCTTCAAGGTGCTGTAGAAGTCCCCGCTCCCTTCCTCGTCTGAGCAGCAATGTGGCGTGCCGGGCAGGGTGCTCCCTCTGGGCCTCGGTGTCCCCTGGTGGAAGATGAGGATTATCTCCTCCTCTTTGGGTGCTATGAGGAGCATGGGTGGTGCTGTTCCAGGCTCATGCAGAGATGTATGATGGGAGGGGGTGTAGAGGAGGCAGGCAGCCTGGCTTGTCCACCGGTGGAGTGAGCAGCTGCGCAGCCTCGGAAGGCAGACCCCGGCCACACATGTACACCCCCCAAATGCAAGCCCTGGAGAGCAGGCCATGGCCGGGGTTGGTAATTTGGAGACCAAGGAGGAGGCTGGTAAAGTTGTCTTACTGGGGTGGCATGGAGCTGGCCTGGGCACAGAAATGGGGACAGGAGAAGCGGGGTAGCCCCTGGCAGCTGGGGGCCTGTGACAGAGAAGTCAGCTCTGCTGGAGGTGCTGGGTCTCAAGGGTAGGAGAGGGGCCCATGACCTGCTCTCTGTCTGTTTCCAAACTCTCGTGGAGCATCTGCGGTGTGAGGCCTGGTGGCGGGCTTGGGCGCAGGACAGCCAGACGCCGTCCCTGCTTTCAGAGGCCTCGCTGGGGGCACCCTCTTTCTGTACGTCGTTTCCCTCCAGGTTCCTCAGATACCAGCTTCTCATCATGCAGACCCTTGTTCACCTATGTGGCCTCAGAAATGTTGTAGCAGGTGGAGGCTTGATGGTGGGCCTTTACTTTTTTTTTTTTCCTGGGCTTCTTGCAACCGCCCCTGCTCCCCCTGGAGAAAGCCCCCGTACCCACCCTTGTTCACAGCGGTCTTGTCTTTTTACCTCCGGCCATTCTGCTTCTGCCCTCGCCTGCTTCTCTCTTGCCCTGCATGCATCACAGTTTTCATCGCAGTGCTGCTGCGCAGGTGGGAGGCTTCGCCAGGGGCCAATCCCCCCACAGGACCTCTGGTCCTGCTTCTTGTTTGTTTCTGCTGTAGCTGGAGTGCTTGGGTGAGCCCGAGGCAAAGGCCTGAGCCATCGTCATCTGAAATTTGGGGGATGGGGATCCCTGGGTGGCGCAGCGGTTTGGCGCCTGCCTTTGGCCCAGGGCGCGATCCTGGAGACCCGGGATCGAATCCCACATCAGGCTCCCGGTGCATGGAGCCTGCTTCTCCCTCTGCCTGTGTCTCTGCCTCTCTCTCTCTCTCTCTCTGTGACTATCATAAAAAAATAAAAAAATAAAAAAAAATAAAAAAAAAAAAGAAATTTGGGGGATGGACCAGAGATGGCCTGTTCTCTTTCTACTCTGAAGTTTTGTGATTTTACTTTACTTTTTGAAAGCATTCGGTGTCTAGAATGATGGTCACCAAATGTTAGAAATGGTTATTTGGGGGTGATTGGCCTTCTCTTTTGGACGTTTTGAATGTTTGAGTGTTGACTTTATCCTGCGCTCTATCCCTGAGGTTCCATCCAGCTCAGAAATGCTTCCATTGTGTTTTCCTTCCTCGATTGTCCTCCTTGTCTTGGGTCTCAGCAGTGCTGTGGGCCAGTGAAATCTCACGAGAGCTGGCCAGACCTCTGTGTTCCAGGTTCTTGACAAGCATACTCTGTTGCTTTCAAGTATGTCCAGTACCGGTGTGGGCTGGCAGAGACGTAAACCTGAGCTGGGATTGTCGGGCTGGTTAGCAAGTTGCTTGACAAAAAAAGAGAGTTAATGAAGCCATGATCCCTGCAAATGTGCTTGAAAGTCGCTCCCTGCTGGAGACATCTTGAAGTGTTGGGTTCACTAGGTAGGTCATGTCTTGGGCTGGGTTTGGTTTGGTGAGGAATGGGTCAAGTCACATCTGTATCGAGTACACCCTTAACCCACTGGCAGCAGTTTGCTGCCTGGAGGACAGTTCTGTGGCTGCGGGCTGGGGAGGGCGCAGCTGGAACAGGCGCAGCCGGAACAGGGGCAGGCCGGGCTCTGAAACCCTGAGCCTGACGGGGTCACACTGAGGACCCAGAGTAGCAAGCTGTCAGAGGCTGGCACCCTGTGCAGTGGTGGAAAGTGTGCTGGCCAGCGCAGGAGCCACTAGCCACACGTGGACATTGCCACTAGAAATATGGCTTGTGTGAACGAGGAACTGGGTTTTTTGTTTTATTGACATCTATCTGCATTTACATCTCCTCACGTGGGTAGCAGCAGCGGAATTTGACTGTGCGGCGGTCATAAACGGCGATTTTCGGGACCCTGTCACGCTGCCTTCTGAAGTCACTGAATTGGTGCGCTTTTCCACAGGAGAGAATCTCCCCCATTTTATGTAGCTGCGTGATTTTTCTGCATATATGACAACACACTTTGCTCTCCGATAGCCGACTGATTACAAAATGCTCTTTATTTTGACGTAATAACACAGATCCATGGCACACTCTGTGGAGGGACAACAGGTGTGTCAGTGCACGGTGACCCTGCCGCCTCCTATCCCTCAAGCCACCCCTGCCCCATGCCTTTCTTTCCAGGGATGGTGTCTGTAAGTAAATACATGGATTAATGGACTTACAATGTTTCACTCCCTCTGGTTTTCTGTGAACTCCCTGCCTTCTGCCCCTGCTCTGAGGCTGACCCTTGTCACGGGGGTGAGGGGGTGAGGGAAGCGTATCTACACAAGGAGGCCCTCCCTGATTGCCCAGGAAGAGGGCTTCCCTCGAAACCTCAAACTCATGATTATCTTACTAGGAAAGCTTTTTAATGATAATCTGCATTTGTTTCTTTGCTTTTCAAAGCGTTTTTACATTTATGATGTTATTTTTACCAACCCAACCCTCCCCCCAACTGTTCAGAGTTTGATGATTGCTCGGCATTGATGGTCCTTAAGTTACACAGGCTGGAATTCCGGTCTTTGCCAACGTTGTGCTGGGGCTTCCCTTTCCTCTGAGGAAGGAACCAGATGGGTGGGACAATTGGGTTAGGTCATAAAAGGTTTTATCTGTGACCTTTGCCTCCCGTTGATGAGGCTGTCGGATCTGGAGGGCATTGGAGCCTCATCATACTTCCTCCTTCCCTCCCCTTTCAGTCTGGTCTCCAAGGACCCATCCTGAGAGTAGAAACTGATGCTTCCAGAGCACCTACAAGGTCATCAGTTCACTCTCACAACATCAGATTTTGTTGGTGGAAATTGATCAAGCAAAAAGGACTTCTTCTAAGACCTTTTAAAGGTTCTTTAAAGACACCAAATGATTCATATTCGGAAGTTTGGGTTATATCTATGAGGAGGTGGCGCTTCACACACACTCAAATGTTTTCTTGAGTTTGAATTTCAATTTGTTGAGTTGAAAAGACAAGAGTTATGTCACCCCAAACACATTTGAGAAAGAAGTTGTGATAAATGTGGGTTTTTAGGTCATGGGGGCAAAAGGCTGTCTGCCTGATGGTCATCATGCTCTCTCAGTGGGTCTGCAGAAATGCTCATTCTTCTTTTTCTCGCTATAAAAAGATTGGAAAGAATTAAGTCAAATCAGGGTGAGGCCATTGCTGAATAGCCCCAGCAGGCCTGCGGCAGCATGTCCCAGGAGCCAACAGCATGTCCTAGGAGCTGTCCTACAGTGGCACCCTTGGTGGGAGGGGTAGGGGTGGGGTGGGGAGAAGGGCTTGTGCAATGGGGCTGTCCCTAGCTCCGCAGCCTTCTAAAACAGGTCACTGTATGGTTCTTTCTCTCCAAGGAGCTGACGGTGGCGGATCATCGTCCGGAAATGGTTCTGGAGCTGCCCCTGCCGCCCCTGCAGGGGGCTCTCGCTCATCTTCCCGGAACTTGGGGTCTTCCAGCGGCGAGAAGGAAGAAGGCAAGAAGGCCCGGCGGCAGTGGGAGTCGTGGAGCACAGAGGATAAGAATACTTTCTTCGAGGGGCTCTATGAGGTGAGCCCTGGGGCTGGGACCAGTGGCCGAGACTCCCAGCCTCTCTCCACATTGTCTGTGCTTCTCTTTCAGTTGGCCTCTGCCTGGCCGACCTCATGGCTGGGAGATCTATTAGGTCGGCACTGCCTTGGGCAACTCCTCCTAGGTGGCAGGCATGGGTCCCCAAGGACTGGCACTTGCCCTCTGACCTTGGCCTTTTATCCCCTCATTGTGACTTTAAAAGCCGATAGTTGATAACTAAGTGATTATTAGGAGGTGTCTTTGTTTTTCTGCAAGAGTCTACTGGTTGTCTCAGATGCAGTCTTTGTTTTTTAAAAAATTTTATTTACTTATTTGAGAAGAGAGAACTTCTGCAAGTGAGGGGGGGAGGGGCAGAGAGAGGGGGAGAGAGAATCTCAAGCAAACTCCCCATGTAGCTTGGAGCCCAGTGCAGGGCTCATGCCCATGACCCTGACATCCTGACCTGGGCCAAAACCACATGTCAGACGCTCAACTGATTGTGCGACCCAGGCACCCCTCAAATACACTCTTCACTGAGGAGTGGAGCCCTGTCTGTGGGCCTTCCCCTTGCAGCTGAGAGATCCCTGATGAGGGACAAGGGGACACTTGCCACATCAGTCAGAGCCAGCAGCTTAACCCTGAGAGCAGTTGCAGTGGATGTGGGACAGAATGGGAAGTCCTAAAAATAGAAGCTGCTCCCTGATCCCACTGCCCAAAGAAACAGCTGTGCTCCCTGCCAGCTGTTTTCACTTCCCTGTTTTGGTTTTTCAAATATTCCTACCTATAGTGATCATATTTTTTTTTATTAACATCAAATGCATTTTCATGGTATGTTATGGTTCTTTCACTTAGTACTTTTTTAGTGCCTGTAAATATTCTACTTCAAGTGAAAACTGTGGCTTGCATGCTCGCCTGTTTTTATAAATAAAGCTTTATTGGGATGTAGCCACACCCATTCACTTCCTGGCTGCTTCTCACAACAAAGATAGAATCAAGCCCTTGCAACAGCTAGCGCGTGGCCTGCGACATCTACGTGTTTACCCCTGAGCCAGGCCTGCTCTCTTTCACCATCTTCGTATTGTTGACTGTCGTGGTTCCTTCCAGGTTCAGCAGGCATCTTCGTGAGGATTCTGTGTTTTAGACCACTTGATGGGGGCATAGTGTGAGGAGTAGGTTACTCACCAGCAGGCTGTATTGCGAAGGAATTGGGAGTTATGGAAGAGTCTTGCCAAGCCTGGCAAACAGGGCTCAGAGCTGAAATGGGGTTTGGAATTGATGCTCTGAAATATCCAGGGAGAGGTGAGAAAAGGTGAGGGGCTAGAATTCAGTGCTGCTGTCAGAATATTCCTGAGGCTTCCTTGTTCCTTTTGGGGCCCCATGCTTTGGTTCTGCCGTCCCGATCGCAGGAGGCCCGTCTGGCAGTGCCCCTGGACTCAGGCGTGCAGGGAGGCAGTGAAGCGTGTATCCAAAGCTTTCCCAGTAGGTGCAGAGTCCTGCAAACAAGTTCAGATGTGTTCCCTTTCTTCCCTCGGACAGTTTGAAAGTAGAGCAGGGCGGCTGTTTTGTATAGTTACGGCCCCACACTGCCTCTCGAAGTTGCCATCAGGCATAGAGCACTGGGGGCCCCACGACTGTGTTCACACTGTGCGGCTGATGCTCCCCTGACAGCTCTGCTGCTTGGTGCAGCCCTTCCTTCCTGGGAAGAGTGGGGCTCTGTGGGGCTCTGGGTGCAGAATGCAGGCCAGAGGTGTGCTTGTTGATTAAAAGTGAGGGAAGGATTCCGCATCAGTGACCTGCCCTACCTTTCTTCAGGTAAATTAGTTCATTCCCTGCCCACTGGGCCAGCTTCTTGTTTGACATTTTTAGCCAGGTAGGTGTTTGAGGTTTCCTGATCCTTAATTAACAATAACGGACCCTTGTGGTCACTTACTGTGCTCCACAGTTAGTGCTGTCGCTCACGTGTCGTGTGTGGGCATGTGCCCCTGCAAGGACACGGGCTCGGGCCCTACAGCTGACACTCTTGTGTGTCTCACTGAGTTGCCACAGGCTGCTGGTGGGGTCTGGATGCAGGGCTGATAAGCTCTGCTCTGCCGCCGCGTATATGCTGCCCATCCCTGCCTTTTTGGTACCCACATCTGACTCGACTGTGCTTCAGGTGACACACCCAGCTCAGAGTGCAGAGAGGCACAAGGGATGGAACAGCTGTCCTGACCTACAGACAAGACGGAGGGACTATGTCAAGCCCGATGGGATGCAGGGCCTGCAACGATGTCATGGAGCCTCTGTCACCCCGTTTGTGGAGGGTGACACTGTAGTGCTTACTGCCTCCTGTTGCAGACCCTTCTCTGGGACAAGAGTGCCACCCCAGGGCAGCCCCGGTGGTGCAGCGGTTTGGTGCTGCCTGCGTCCTGGGGTGTGATCCTGGAGACCCAGGATCGAGTCCCACGTCGGGCTTCTTGCATGGAGCCTGCTTCTCCCTCTGCCTGTGTCTCTGCCTCTCTCTCTGTGTGTCTATGAATAAATAAATAAATAATCTTAAAAAAAAAAAAAGAGTGCCACCACACTCCCCACTCCAGGTGGGACAGCTCTAGGAAGGCCTCAGGTGGGCCAGGCCTATTCCAGACTCTACTGTGGCTGGGGTGTGGGTCGTGGCCCCCATGACAGGGAGCTGGTGGGGAGGCCAGCGGGCCGAGCACCTGCACTGACACCATCCTCAACATCTCCCTACTCTGTTTCAATGGCGGTTCCTCACTAAGCCCATCGCTGATTCCGTTTTTCTTCTTATGTCTGTGGTTCCTGCCTCACAGCCCTACATGCGTGCTTCTCACCAGGTGGATAATTGCTAATGGCTTGTCTGCATCAGAGCACTACAGGAGTGCTAGGAGGCAGAGAAGTCCCCCTTAAGGGCTGACGATCTGATTAGGGAAATGTAGTAGGAACAGAAAACGTTGGGCTGTCAGGAAGCCTACGCCAACTAACACCACAAGAATTCAGAAGGCAGCGTAGTTTGAGAATCACAAAACCCAGATTCTGGTCCCAGCCTAGCAAGTGTGTGCACCTGTCTGGGTTTCGTGCGCTGCTGCAGAGAGGACCTGAGGGATGGAGAGGCTGTCTGCGCTTGCTCTGCCAGGACTCTGATCTAGGCCTGAGGGAGGGTCTGTGGGGGAGGGGACACCCAGAGGAAGGCATTTAAGACATCTTTTTATTTATTTTTTATTTTTCTAATACTGAAAATTTTAATTCCTTCCTTTTTTTTTTTTTTATATACTTTAAGTTTTCATTTTAAAACTGTTTCAGGGACACCTGGGTGACTCAGTGGTTGAGTGCCTTTGGCTCAGGTCGTGATCCCAAGTCCTGGGATTGAGTCCCGGGTCTGTCTCCCTGCAAGGAGGAGCCTGCTTCTCTCTCTGCCTGTCTCTGCTTTTCTCTCGGTGTGTCTCATGAATAAATAGATAAATAATTTTTTAAAAAGTTTCAAACTCAGGGATCCCTGGGTGGCGCAGCGGTTTGGCACCTGCCTTTGGCCCAGGGCGGGATCCTGGAGACCTGGAATCGAATCCCACGTCGGGCTCCCGGTGCATGGAGCCTGCTTCTCCCTCTGCCTATGTCTCTGCCTCTCTCTGTGTGACTATCATAAATAAATTAATTAATTAATTTTAAAAAAAAGTTTCAAACTTGGAAAAAGTTGTAGAAAGAGTATAGAGAATTCCCTATGCCCTCTACCAATGTTTACATAACCTGTGTGACCAGCTTAATGAGGAGATTGGGTGTGGATACCGTAGCATTTATTGACCTGTGGGCCTTACTCAGGTTTAGGTGGTGTTCCCGCTGATGTCCATTCTGGTTTCAGTGGACATGACTCCTGAGCCCTCTACCTGGGGACAGGCCCTCAATCTCCACCTCCTTTTTTCTGTCTCCTAAGAGCTTGACAACTTAAAAATATTTTACTTAAATTCAGTTTAAGTAAAATATACCGTTAGTTTCAGAAGTAGAAATTAGTGATTCATCGGTTGCATAAACACCTAGTGATCATTACACCATGTGCTGTCTTTAATGCCCATCACCTCACTCACCTCCCATCCAGCAACCCTGTTTCTTTCCTGGAGTTAAGAGTTTCTTATGGTTTGCCTCTCTCTCTGTTTTTATCTTATTTAATTTTTTTCCCATCTCCTATGTTCATCTGTTTTGTTTCTTAAACTCCACATAGGAGTGAAACCATATGATAGTTGTCTTTTTCTGACTGACTCATTTTGCTTAACGTAATACTCTCCAGCTCCATCCATGTTGTTGAAAATAGCAAGATTTCATTTTTTGATGGCTGAGTATCATTTCTTAGTATGGAATATATATATTGCATCTTTTTTATCCATTCATCAGTTGATGGACATCTGGCTTCTTTCCATAGTTTGGCTCTTGTGGACATTGTTGCTATAAAACATTGGGGTACAGGTGCCCCTTTGGATCATTCCGCTTCTATCATGTGGGTAAATACCTAGTAGTACCATTGCTGGGTTGTAGGGTAGCTCTGTTTTTTACTGTTTGAGGAACTTCCATACTGTTTTTTGAGTAGCTGCACAAGCTTGCATTCCCACTAGCAGTATAAGAGGGCTCCCCTTTGGGGCACCTCAGTGGCTCAGTGGTTAAGCGTCTGCTTTTGGCTCCAGTCTTGATCCTGGGGTCCTGGGATCGAGTCCCACATCGAGTTCCCTGCAGGGAACTCCCTGCAGGGAGCCTGCTTCTCCCTCTGCCTGTGTCTCTGCCTCTCTCTCTGTGTCTCTCATGAATAAGTAAATAAAATCTTTTTTTTTTTTAAAAAAGAGGGTTCCCCTTTCTCCACCTCCTCACCAACATGTTATTTCATGACTTGTTCATTTTATTATTTATTTATTTATTTATTTATTTATTTATTTATTTATTTATTTATTGTGTTCATTTTAGCCATTCTGACTGCTGTGAGGAGGTACCCATTGTGGTTTTGATTTGTATTTCCCTGATGCCGAGAGATGTTGAGCATTTTTTCATATGAGATCTTGACACTTTTTTTTCCCCCCAAGATTTTATTTATCTGAAAGAGAAACTGTGAGCAAGGCAGAAAGACTGAGAGAGTATGCATTACTAGGGGTCAAGGGAGAAGCAGGCTCCCTGGGGCTCCATGCTAGGGGATCGTGATGTGAGCTGAAGGCAGAACCTTAAGTGACTGAGCCACCCTGGGGCCCCGACCTTGATACTTTTGAAGACTCCTGGTCTGTTAGGTTGTGAAATACCCCTCAGTTTGAGCTTCTCTGAGGTTAACTAATGATTAAATGTACATTTTGCATTTTTGTCAAGAGTACCACAGGAGTGCCAGGCTGTCCTGAGCACATCCTGTACAGAGCGCATGCTGTGCTCCATTCTGTCTGGTGGTCTGAACCTCGATCACTGCTTTCAGGTGACACCTGCCAGGTCTTGTACTTACTAATCTGTTTTTTTTTCTTTTACTTTTAGACTATGTAAATATTCTGTTTCTCATTTTTTCTTACACTGACTTTAGTAATCATGCGACTTCTTACCTGAAATAATATTAGTATACCATTTGCCCATTGGCGATTTTCTGACTCCATCATTCTTTCTGTACTTATTAATTAGAGATCCTGTGCAAGAAACAGCTCTCCCTTCTCCCTTATTTAGGTAGGAATTCAGTGGTTTGTTTTTATCTGTATGGACTTGGGTATATAGGTTGTTCTGTGTCACAATCTATTCATATCATTGTCCATTTTCTTGCCCAGATGACTGCAGATTTGGCCACTGGGAGCCTCCTCTGGTTGGCTCCTGTATCCTTCCCACATGCTCTTCTCGTGCTGCAAGCATTTCACTTGCCTACTTTCTGGCATAGCAAGATATTCCAGACTCACTGGTACTTTCTCTGCTCCCATCTCTTCTAGGGACCCCGCTTCCTTTTGGGAATGGGATTTAAAAACCAAGATATGGGTGCTGGGGGTGCTCGTGGTGTCCGGGTGCTGTCACCTCTGGGCCCTCCCCTGGACATCTGTCTTGGCTTTGATGGAATGTCAGCAGCTCCTGAAGAATCCTGGTGGTGACTTTGTTCTTTGGAACACCGATTCCATTCTGAAAATCTCACAAGAACTCAGCTCCTACGTGGATGTGTTGAAGGAACAGGTGGCCCATGAATGTATTCAGAGCATAGTCTGTGTGGTTCTCTTACTGTTTATATTTCCTCTCCCTATTTGAATATAGGATACATTTTCTCTGATGGAAGCAGTAAGGGCATCTCTGAACAGTTGATGTATTGCTTTAGGAGGCCAGGAATAGCATACTCTTAGCTCTTTATGGTTTGTGTTGTGTGTTGCCATGATTATCTTCATGGAGCTGTCTTGGTTTGTGGTCTCTAGGCAACTATGGGCGTTAAGCCCCTTTCGTCTGCATGATGAGCACTGTGTCCTCCTGCTCCTGAGTCCTTGCCTTGTTACAATAGATTTATTCCTCAGATTCTGCTGTTGCTTTATCCGTTACTTGAGTTGAAACCAAGGTTCTAGGGAGGTGAGGCTGAAGTTCATGCACAAGAGCCGTCAAGGACATTGGCTTGACCACGGTGGGCTCCCTTTCCCTTCTCCTTTATCGGGAAGCGTCTGTGTTGTACAGAAGACTGCCTTGTTGTAACCTTTGTGCTTTTAATGTGGACTTAATTTTGCAGCATGGGAAAGACTTTGAAGCCATTCAGAACAACATTGCACTCAAGTACAAGAAGAAAGGCAAGCCCGCGAGCATGGTGAAGAACAAGGAGCAGGTCCGGCACTTCTATTACCGCACGTGGCACAAGATCACCAAGTACATTGACTTTGATAATGGTGAGTGTGCTCAGACTTGGCTCCTGGGAAGGTGGCAGGTGTGGTTGGCTGCTGGTCAGGAGCTGGTTTCCAGCAAACCCACAAGACACACCCTCTGGCATTGTGCTCTCCCAGCCACATGGCCAGGGATTTCCCTGCCTCATGGTCCTTTGGCTGGTGGAATGCCTAGGATCCATCGCTTAAACTGAATTGTGAGGAAGCCGCACTTATTTCTAATGGCCCTGGGTGCCGGTGCTTCTAGGTCCCTGGCTCACTCTGGGCCTGTGTCCCACCCTTGGAGGGGAGGGCCCCACAGTCGACAAGGAAAAGCAGACCATAGGTCCTGGCCAGCCAGAATAGGGCCCCTCTGGTGCCTACCTTTCTCTCCCAAGCAGGGGCTCCTTGGGGTGAGGGTTGGGCATGGCCCGTGTGTGGCCCGTGTGTGGTGGGCTGGGGTGGAGGGCTAGCTTTCCCAGAGCTCTTGTCTGGGTTTGAAGTCAGGCTCGAGTGATCTGTTTTCAGTTCACAAGTCTGGGTCAACACCCTCCCGCCCGCAGCAGCCTACCCAACCAGCCTCTGTCCTCAGGGGAGGTATTGCCACGTCACACCTGCCACTCAGTCATTGATCATATTTCTTTATGTTAACTCTTCGTTTCTACAACTTCACTCATAGCTTGGTCATTCCAGACATTTGCTTCTACAAACTTCTCTTGTTTCTGACACTCCTCGTAAAATAATGTAAGTTGTGATAGAGAACAACTCTGATGGCTGAGGCCTGTCACTCCCTTTGAACCTTTGTCATGTGCTGTTCGTGCCTGCCCTTGATGATCTCCTGTGTTTCTGCCTCAGCCCCACCTGTGGGTGCACTCTTGGCCTCTTTGGTGACCCTCAGGCACGTGTATGCCAGCACCACCTAGGCTGACCTGTCTGCCTCCTCCCTGGCTCCCTGGCGGGTCAGCACGCCAGCACGTGAGAAAGGTCCAGAGAGCACGATTCGAGCTGTCTCTTTCTTTGAAGGATCAGATGGCAAATATCTTGGCTTTGGGGTTTGCAGTCTGTGGAACTTGTTGCGCTCTGCTGTTTTAGCTCATTTGTAGACAAAGGGTAAGCAGGTATGCATTGGTGTGTTCCACAAACCCTTCCTTCAGAAACAGGTCCTGGGCTGCGTTGACCTGTGAGCCATAGTGTGCCGACTCCTGCCCTAAAGAAATCTTTCTCACTGCCACCAGCCTGTGTGGGAGCCCTTGGGGACAGGGCTGCTCAAGCTCCGAATGCTCACAGTTGTTACCTGACACTGTCACCTGAATGTATGTCCCTTTGAACCTTTGTGGACATCTGTCACCAGAGTCTTGCTGGTTGTACCTCAGAGCTGTTCTGGTCTCTCCTCACCACCTGGTCCCCCTTGCTCTTATTCTAGATCATCGCTGTCCCCTGCTGTCTGGTCCCACCCTCCCCCTCATGCCATGAGATGGGCACCAGGTGTGCATCTGCCGGGCTGCTTCCTTGCCTGAGCCCCTCCTGCGGCTCCACCAGGTGTTCTCCTCCTGACCTGTGGGCGGGCAGGAATAGGGTCTCCACCCTCATGTGTACTTGCACTGTACCCCCTGCTGATCAACCTCCCTCACCCTGCTCCCTCCCCAGGCGGAGCTGTGTTCTCTTCCCAGAAATCCCTCCCTGAATCCTTCCCTGCCCCTGCTTCTGCCTGACGGGGGCCTGTCACTGAGCATGTCACCCTCAGGGCAGACAAGAAAACCCACGCTTATTTGTGGACGTCCCTGCCTGGGATCCCCCAGACAGTCAGTGGGAGCTGAGACCTCTCCTTCTTCCCAGACACCCTCCACCATCTCAGCACAGCGCCCCCCCCTCCCCCCCCCCCCCCCGGGTGTGCCACCTTTTTATGCTGCTGTGGAATTTCTCTATGCTTCCTGTGGAACGTTAATTTGTTGAGTTTGATGTTGCTACAGGTGAATAAATTTTACCTTTCCTTTTGGACCAGCAGGTCCCTTTGGTGGCCTTACACTGTGCACTTGTGGATGTACCCGTTCACATAGCACTTTCCTTTGGAAACACTTTCTTTGGGTAAATCGCACAATGGAGAGGAGTTTATTTATTTATTTATTTAAAGACTTTATTTATTCATGAGAGACAGAGAGAGAGAGGCAGAGACACAGGAGGAGGGAGAAGCAGGCCCCATGCCGGGAGCCTGACGTGGGACTCGATCCTGGGACTCCGGGGTCACCCCTTGAGCCAGAGGCAGTTGCTAAGCCGCTGAGCCACCCAGGGATTCCCCCCTCCTTTTTTTAAAGATGTATTTATTTATTTATGATAGACAAAATTTTATTTTCCATTTGCTAATGAACTTTTGTTTTCCTTTTCTGGTGATTTCATCACACCTGAGTGTTAGGAGTTTGAAAAGGGCTCTCTGGGGAGAAGCCAGAGAGAGCAGTTGTGAGGACGGGAGGGACGGCAGCACGGGTCACTGCTCTGTGAAGTGGTGGAGAAGGCGCCGGACTGGGCTGGGCCTGCGCCGGCGGACGGCACTCAGGTTTGGCTTCAGGTAACACGGACCTCAAAGCATCGTGGTCTTCTGCACAGAGAGATTGGTTCTCCTGTGGCAGAGACGTCAGATAGGAGGTCCAGTGCGGTCACTGGGGACTCAGGGCCTGCCCTCTTGCCACTCTGCCATGCCCAGCACAGTGCTTGGTCCAGGATGGCTCCGTGGGCAAGACCGGGGTGCCAAAGGACACATTTGTCCTCAGTCAGTCTTCAGTCATTTTGGGAGCTTCTGGAAGTCTCCTGATCACTCTAGAGGCCAGGACTTAGTGGTGCAGCCCCATCTAGCCGCAGGGCAGGCTGGGATGTGCACCGTCTGACCTGGATTCGTTGCTTCCTGAGTGAGGTGCATCTGTTGCTGAGGAGCAGGGGAGAGTGGATACCGGTACCGTGAGGGCTGGGGCTGCCGTTCCTCCTCCGTCTGGCCTCAGGGGGGTCATCAGTGATCAGAGATGGTGTGACACGTCCGCTTCCATGGTCACAGGCCTCCGGCCTCACACAGAGGTTGGGTGGTTCTGTGTTCGGAGGGAGATGGTCTCAGCCCACCTCCTGTGGCCCCGCTGGCCTCCCAGGCTCCTCCCGGGGCAGCCCTCTGCCCGTTAGCATTTTCTGGCGTCAGCCCAGTTTTCTAATCTAACTTCTCATTTTGAAAAATTGTGTTCCTGTGTGCGCGCCTCACTTCGTTTCGCCCGGGGTTGCCGTCCTGGGAGGCACGTGCGGTGGTCGGAACCACGGGACGAACAGCGCTCACGTGCCCCTGCCCTCCTGTGCCCGAGCTGGTCGGCCCGGCGGGGACGTCTTCCCCTTCTAAAGCTCTGTCCCTTCTTGGTGTTTCAGTGTTCTCCCGTGGGCTGAAGAAGTCGTCCCAGGAGCTGTACGGTCTGATCTGCTACGGCGAGCTGCGGAAGAAGGTCGGGGGCTGTGAGTATGGGGCGCCAGGGCTCCTGCAGTGCTCGTGGCTGGGGACGTGTCGCGGTTTCCGGAATGCTCACGGCTCCTCCTGGCAGGGCCTGCTCTCCTGTCACTATTGGGTCTTTGATGCCACAGCTCTTCTCCCTCCAGCTTGAATCTTGAAAACATTTTAGGGAGCAGGGAGTTGAAGAGCACCTGAGCCTCTGCATGCCTGCACCTTCATGAGACTTACCTGTCGCAGACAGCGGCCCCACCTGTGTGCCCCACCCCACGAGTGCACTTTCTCTTACTCAGCATCTGACTGCAGGCATCCTGGCAGGGCCCTGACCCTTCATCCCATGTCACTTGAGCCCAGGGACATTGTTCTGCATGCCCACAGTCCTGTCACCACCTGATGTGTTTAGCATTTATGTCGCAGGCACTATGGTCTTACCTAGCAGCTGCCTGTGTTCAGGGTGCCAGGTGGGGATGTGGTCCTAGGTATACCTGTGGTGCCCCCTTGGGGCTGTTGATGAGATAGATGAGCCTCACCTTTGGTCTTGTGTGACACTGGTGCTTGGAATGATCTGGGCTACTCCCCATATGTCCCTCAGCTTGTGTCCTGTAACTAACGTAGGCATGCTCTGGCTTTCCAGGGGCACCAACCACTTAGTGGCCTACCTCGCCTCCCCGTGTGACCCCAGGCAAGGGGTGCCCTTGTCTATGCAGGTGCCACTGGGCACCGTCACATGGCGGAAGGGTGCTTACCCACAGGGTCACTCCAGAGGCCCAGTGAGACCATGTGACAGAGTCATAAGCTGTCTCCTCCCTGGTCACCCAGCAGAATGCCACTGCTCAGAGTGGGCAGCAGGGCGGGGGGTGTGGAATCAGCAGAGGGACCAGGAGGGAGGGCGTTTGAGGGCTGCTCTGCACACGCTAGCCTAGAAGCAGGCAAAAACCCTACAGGTGGCCTGGCTTCCAACCCAGTCCTTCCTGTGGTCTGAGCACTTATTTGTCACTTGCTGGCCTGTCGTGGAGTGCTCCCAGTGTGAGTGGTGTACAGGCACTTACTGCCCCTGGCCACTGCTAGTGGCTTCTCCTCGCTCTCCCAGCCTGCCTGAGTCCTCGTGAGGCTGGCCTGCTCCCTGACCTTGGGCGGCTTACCGTCACCCCACTGGGCAGCACTGGGACCCCGGCCCAGGGGCCTCTGTACTTGGACTTCTGTTCCTCTTCCTGCCACCCTGCAGCTCAGAGAAGCCAGTCCTACTTGTGACATCCCACCAGCTCCTCTTGGCCTCCACACATTCAGCCCCCCCCCAAGGCCCCACTTGAGCCCCGCCTGCCCCCCACTTGCAGGTCACTTGCTGGCACACCGGGTGCCCTGCACACTGCAGCATCTCATGACTGCATACTGGTAGCCTTTTCTGGACTGTGCAGAAATTGTGGTCGGAGCCTGCTTTTGTTTAACACTGGGCCTCTGGACGAACATGAACCCTGAAACGGTGGGCGTTGAGTCTGCTGTGTTCCTAGGACTCAGACACACGCTACATGTGTGCAGCCTCAGGGCAGCTACTGCGCTGGCTGGTGTCCCAGGGGCTGAGGAGGCTCCGTTGTGATGAAAATCTCCTTGGCTGCTAAGTGACAGGTGACGCTTTGCCCCCAGGACTGAATCTTAGACCCAGAGCTCATTTCTCCTGCCGCAGCGGCCCATCTCCCATCCTCACCTGCGTGTTCAGGTAGCTTTTCTCTGAAGGGTGGTTCCTTGCATGGTGCCCATCGAGTGACTCAAACCCTGAAGTCTCAGTGGCTCAGCTCCTGGACCTTCTGTCTGTCCGGCAAGCCAGATGCAGGACCAACGGGCCCTTCCATCCCCTTTGGCTTTCCCTTTGATCTCTGCTCACATGCCCAGGAACCTCCAGGATAGGCTGCCCTCTGGCCATGCGCTTGCTTGGCCCTGCAGACCCTGCCTTCACTTGGGAATCCCTGCTGTGCTTCCCGCTGATGGTGCTGCTTTGTCACGTAACCGTGCGGGGCAGGGCCATGCTGGGTCCCCGGTCAGTGAGCGGGGCTGTGCGCCTGCCTCTTCCTTGCTGGGCCTTCTGTCCCGGAGGCCCGTCTCGATCTGGCCCATTGCCCTGCGGCCTGCAGGACGTGCCTTGCTGTTTCTCGTCACATGCTTGTCATGTGTGGCTGTGAATTCTTCCAGTGATTATTTGTAAAGCTTTATGTTGTCTTCAATCTTGAAAGGTGTTTTTGCTGGATGGAGAGCTCGGATTGGGCAGTTTTTCCTTCCTTCACTGTAAAGATTTGTTCCTTTATCTCTGGCCTTCACCATTCCTGGGGAGAGGCCACCGGCTGCTGTGTCTCTGCTGCTCTGGAAGGGATGCATTACTTTTCTGTGTTGCTTTAAGGATTTTGTCCTTGTCTTGGTTTTTGGCCTGGCTCTGTGTTTGTGGCTTATTGTTTTTATCCCTGAGTACATAAGAGTTTAAGAAATTTTCGATGATCTCCAAACATTCACCATCTACCAGGTTACTCACGTTCTTGCACATGTAATTTCGTTTTTCCTTGGACATATTTGGGACAGCAGCAACTGTGGGAGGGTGCAGAGGAACGTGGTGTCAGCTCTGGTGAACACGTATGGTCTTGGGTCCTTGTTCACCTACCCTGGGAACCTGGGGACCCAAAGCAGACCACAATGGGCCAGCAGATGACACGAGCCCAGCAGGAGAAGCATGTGGTGGTGACCCTGAGAAGGGAATCTGAGCTGGGCGGCTAGGGAGGAGCAGAGGCTCGGTGTGGTGGAAGTCGGGGGTCAGGAGCAGCTGCGTGGAGGCAGGTTGTGGTTCCCCGAGAAAGTCTTGGTGGGTGGAGAGGACATGCAGGTGGGGATGGCACGCTCCACCCAGGCTTTGTGGGAGGAACTGCAGCTAACATGGGGGGTTGTGTTCTGGGAGACTTTGTTGGGTCTTCTGGGAAGGAGCTGGGATATTTGCTTCCTACATTGATGAGAGTTAATCAGGAAACCTTCACTGATCTTGCTCCTGAGGGCTTCATGGTCACATTTATTTGTTTTTCCATTTAAAGGTATGGACGACAAGAACGCGACCAAGTTGAATGAGCTCATTCAGGCGGGGTAAGTAGGGCTTGTGTTGTGGAGCACCGCTGTTGCTTTGGGACGCGTGCGTGCTTCCCGAAGCCCAGAACTGGAAATGTGTGGTTTTTCTCACCGAGGTCCATAATGTGCCCAACCTCCACAGTGAAAGCTGACTGCGCCGTGCAGCCCCAGGAGAGCAGGGTGTCATCGCCTGGGCTGCTCCCCATCTCGTTCTTCCCGCGGGCTCCCTGGCAGGGTGGCAGCACCCACAGGGCCCTCACCACCTCCTATTCCCACCCCCGTCCCCACCTGTGCGTGGGCTGCGGGTGGCTTCTCTGGCCAGAGCAGGCCCACACTCCACCTTCCTGTTGCCCTCCTGACCCCTTCCCTGTGCCTGCCTGCCGAGGCTCCGCTCCCCTAGAGTGAAGCCAGGTCTGACGCCGTCTGCCCTCACACTCGTGGTGTCCAGAGCTCAAGGTTCTCCCGCTTGCTCTGCCCCGAGTGCAGTGACCATTCCTGTGGCAGAGATGGCGTATGGCACGTGCCTTGTGCTCCATTCTCCCACTGTCTCAGTAGAACTTTAGTTTGCTCTCTGGCCCACATTTCAGAGTGGCCTTCAAGGCATCCTTCATTGTCAGTCTCAGTAGTTGGTCCCTGGTCTCCAGCCACGTGTCTGACTCGGGGCGGCCCGGACCTTCCTCTGCTCCACAGTCTGCGGATTCCGTGTGCATGGATTTCCCACCCGGCGTGGCTGCCACTTTGATGGCTGCCGTGGCCTCCCACTCACCCTGCCAGAGCGGGTGTACTCTCTCCGGATCTCTGCCCCTTGCCCTAGATGGACCCTCAGGCCATCCCCAGGCCCCTGCTGGTCCAAGGATAGCTGTCCCGTGGAACAGTCTTCACTGGTCTCTGCTGCATTTGCAGGACATGGCCTTCTGGCACCTCCGGTGGCATTTCTCTCTCAGCCTGGTGTTGGATGGCCTGCACGTCCCCATCCCTCAGGCTTGAGCTCCTGACAGGTGGCGCCGGCTGTGTGGTTTCTGCTCTGGCTCCGGCCCAGCGTCTTCCCTTACATATGCTCCTCTTGGGTTCCCGTGAGTTTATTTCTGTGAACTGCCCCCGTTTGGAACCAGGCGTGGTGGTAACTGGGATGCGCGTATCAGCGCTATGCCAGGCGGTGCGGGCAGCCTTCACAACTGGTGTCTTGGGGCAGACGGAGCCTCCTGGAGGCGTGTAGGTATGCTTAGGAGCAGGTGGCTCATTGGTCGTGCACCCCACGCCCCATTCACCTGTGGCAGTGGCAGTGCCCGCCTTCCTACCCTCACACAGGCCCTGCAGCGTTTGGGGACAAGCTGGGCTTGTGAGCTGTTTGGGCTGCCTGTCTGCCTCTGAGGACCTGCGTCGAGAGCCCAGAGGGTGCTTGGCGGAGGTGGTTTCTGGCATTAGTGTCTCCCCTGCGAGGCGGAGCGCCCACCCTGGATGCGATCTGAGGGGAGCCTTTTTCACCTTTTATTTTACTTGGGTCCCAACTTGTTGGCTGAGCCGGTGTTCTGGTTCTTTGTGCTCAGGAGCATCAGGGACTGGTTTGCTGGAAAAGCTGTGAGTTTTCTTGGCCTGTGTTGGTCCTGTTGTGAGAGGCCGCACACAGAGCGGGGGGGTGGCCTCCTGGGTTTCTGGAAGGACACGCGGGCCTGCCTCAGAGCTGACCTCATGTGAGGAAGGTGTGTTGATACATGTGAATGTGGCTGGGTGGTTGGCATTAGGGGCTGCTGGAGGTTGGAGGGCGCCTGAGCTGGGGGGCCGCAGGGTCGAGGAAACACACAGTGCTGGGTCCCCACGGTCTCCGCAAGGAGCCATCACAGTAAAGCCCAGAGGCAACATGACTGTTAACATGGTTCTGAACAAGTGAGGATCCAGGAGGAGCATCTACATCTCCTGTTTGGTTTGAATATTTAGTAACATGGTGTTGGGATGTCACCTGTGAGCAGTCAACGTGCAGGAGTCTGGACTGATAGGATCGGTGATTGGGTGAAAACCAGGGGGACAAGAGAGAGACTCCCTGTGCAGCATTCCCCACGACCTCTGTAGTCACCCAGCCAAGGAGGACAGCAGTAGTTCTCTGTCTCTGGGGTGTGGGCTGTGCACGGGCGCTTCTGATGAGGGCCGTGTAGGGAGGCAGGAAGGATCCAGACAGACATGACCTCAGCCCCGCAGCATCAACGTCCAGGTGACGGGCAGGTCAGGTTGAAGTTGTGGGGACGTGTCTGTTCTCCCAACATGAGCCCGCAGAGGATGGGGTTGCAGCCAGGGTCACAGTGTGCCTCCTTCCCTGGCTGTGCTCAGTGTAACAACCGCGCGGGAGAATTCGCCGGTCCTTCCTGCACAGCCCCCTCCAGCCCCCAGATCAAGAAGGGGATAAGTGTTCCAGCACCAGCCTCCCCAGAACCCCCGCCTGTGCCACCCCCCATGGCTCGGGGTGAGGAGGAGGGCAGGCGGAAGCGGTCCGTTTCCCACAGCTGCGGGTGGAGAGGCGTCAGCATTGTCTGAGAAGGTGTTCACTCACAGCAGGAGTGCAGGGGAGTCCGTACCTCACCTCTGTTAGCGTGCGTGCCCTCTGACCCCACAGCACCACTTCTGGAAAGCCCTCAGGTCCATGGTGAGCCGCACCGTAGGGCGCACATCACAGCGTCGCTCACGCTGGCGGAAGGGTGCTGCAGAGAGGAGCCTGGCTCCTGGGCGGGCTTGGGGGCTCTGTTCTTATTTTTAGAAGTGAGTGGGGTGCGCATGTGGCCGCAGCAGGGGGACTTAGTGCATGGCTCCCGCTCCCACCAGCACCCCGGGGTGGTCGGTGCCTGGGGCACCCCTGCTCTTCACACCTGTGTCCTGTTCGAGTATTTGACAAGCGAGCTTTTGTCTGCTTAGAGGAGGGAAGGGTGTTCTTTCTGGTTAGCTTTAGGCTGCTGACCACGTTTGCTGTGTGGTGTTCTCCTTACGAAAATGCGTTTATCTGTATTTCTGGTACCAGAACTGTAGCACCTGTGGCTTCACCCTCGGGGCTTCATCAGGAGTGGATGCTGTCGCTGCCTGATGAAATGGCGTCCGAGCCCTTGGAGGGTTGTGGAGACCCCCCAGTGTGGCCCTGAGACCTCCCGCATCAGGAACAGATAGGAGCCAGCTCCAGCAGAGCTCATGAGGCCCGGGCTGGAGGAGTGTCCCCCGGAGGCCAGCGGCCCTCACCTCCTGCTTCCCTGCGCCTTCCCCCCCGCCGGACCCGTCACGTCTGGTGGTTCAGAGCATCACCCAGATGCTGCTGTGGGCACCAGACTGCACGCCTCCCTTGGAGGGTTGCTGGCTGCTTACCCGGGCTCCCTCTCCACCACAGGTGACCGGCTCTTTCCTGTCCCCCGGCTGTGAGTCGGAGTCTGCCCAGCCCCGAGCCTCTGCTGAGTGTGTGTCTCACGTGTCCTCCACGTATGGCTAGACAGCATGTCACCCCCCCTCCCCCCAGTGCTCTGGGCACCTCCCTGTCAGGCCCCTGACCAGCCTGTAGCTCCCAGAGGGTCGGGGGCCGGGTCCTGGGGCTTGGTCGTCAGGGTGCCGGGGCGCCGAGTGCTGGCAGCTCCTCCCTCTGCTTTGACGGAGGATTGTCCTACGCAGCACCCTTCTGTGTCTAAGGAGAAAGGCGGTCGCTCTGAATCTCTCAGAAAGGTTTATCATGGGCTGCCCAGGTGGCTCAGTGGTTTAGCGCCTGCCTTCAGCCCAGGGCGTGATCCTGGGGTCCCGGGATCGAGTCCTACGTCAGGTTCCCTGCACGGAGCCTGCTTCTCCCTCTGCCTGTGTCTCTGCTTCTCTCTTTCTCTCTCTCTGTGTCTCTCAGGAATAAATAAATAAAATGTTTTTTAAAAAAAGAAGTTTATCATGAAAAAGTTCAAACATCAGGTTGAAACAGCAGTAGATCCAGCCCTTTCTCCCTTCACTTGAATTTATCGACGGAGGAGCCGCCCGAAGCCTGTGCCCGCTTGTACCAGCTCTGGGTGGTGGGGGAGGGTGGCCCCATGTGCAGGCAGGTGTGTGCACACATGTTCAGTGTTACTTGTCCTCTTGTGGTTTCATTTCCCTTTCTGCCCCACTGGGCTGTGGTCCGTGGAACAGACCGCTATCCGTAAGTGGGTTTTGAGCAGGTGCCTTCAGTACCTTCGTGTGTGCTGCAGGACAGGACAGAAGCAACAGGGTCCTGCGTCCGCCGTTCGGGCTCCTGCCGGAGAGGGCCCCTGCCCCAGGAGCCCCCCGTGTTATACCAACTTGCTTCCCCAGCCCCTGGTGACCTCTCCCCTTCACTGCCTGCATAGATGCCTTTTCTAGAATGTCTCCGAGTGGGGATTGCACAGCACGCAGCCTTTCCAGATGGCTTTTCACCTCCGGTTTTAATTTTAAAACCCACGGAGCAGTGTACCACCCCGATCCACATCCAGATGGCTCCGTTGCCCCCAGACTCCCTTGTGCTGCCCCTTCATCGTTACCGCCCACTCCCAGCCCCAGCAGCCCCTCGGCTGGTCTCTCTGCCTGTCTTCCTGCCTTTCTCAGAGCACCGTCCAAATGGTGTCACGTGTGCGTGGCCTTTGGAGGTTGGCGTCTTCTACCTGGTGCTGTTCACTTGGGATCTGGCCCTTGTGGGTCTGTAGTTCGTGCTTCTTCCTGCAGGTAGTGGCCCCACTGCGGCTGTCCCAGGCCTGCTTATCCATTCCTCAGCGAGGAACATGGCTGTTAACAGGGCCACTCTAAACCTTCGCCGCCAGGTGTTGGTTGCCAATCACCTGGGCACACGTGCAGGGGGTCCGGCGCTGGCTTCTTTGGGAGCTACCACACGGCTTTCTAGGGAGAGTCCGTTCTGGGTGTTGAGTGTGTTTTGAGCGTCCCCGTGGGTGGGAAGTGGGATCTCCCGGGGGTGTCGGTTTGTGTTGCCCTGGTGACTGACCACGTTGAGCATCTTTCTTGTGCTTGTCATGCATCTGCCTCTGTCTGGTGACTGGCCTGCTCAGATCTTGCACCCGTTTCCTTATTACTGAGGTTGGATAGTTCTAGAGGTGTTATAGACACAAGCCTTTTGTCTTGGGTAGGCGGTTGGCAGTGTTTTCTCCCAGTCTGTGGCTTTTCCTGCCTTCCTAGTGCCTGTCACCGGGCGGGAGTGCTCAGTCCTACTGAGGCCCATTACCATCTCCCTTTATGGGCCACGACTTCATTGTGACGTCCAGGAGCCCTTGGTCTCACCCACAGTCCAGCATTGCTCCAAGTTTCCTTGTGAAAGTTTGATGGTTTGCTATTTCCATCCGTGTTGTATGACAGGCAGGTCCCGCTGAGTTTCGCCTCTGTGGCCTGCAGGTGTCCACTTATTGCAGTCTCGGCTATTGAAAGCACTGTCCTTCCGATGCTGCTTTTGCACCCTTGGGTGAAGACAGCAGGCGGTACTGTGTGGCTCTGTGTCCAGGTTTCCCTCCTGTTACACTGATGGATGTGTCCAGTCTTCTGCCAGCTGACTTTGGTTTCCAAGGGTAAAGCCAGTGGCCCATAAAGGTGAAACAGGTGGGGGAAGTCAGGACGGTGTGTGTGGAAGATTCCTTTGTTGAAGGCCGCGGAATATTTATTTAACCAACTTCCCATCCATCCTTCTCATGCAGACCTTTCTCAGTTAACTGTGAACGTCCATTGGTTGGAGAGCGTGGGACTCAGGAGCAAAAGGACGGAGGAGAACTCTGAGATCACCCCTCACTATGATGCTCACAGGCCAGCCTCACATGCTGACTGGGCTCGGCACATGACTTTGCAGAAGAGAAAGCTTGAGTCCCGTGCACGTAGAGGAACGAGCCTGTTGCCTGTCTGTCAAAGCAACAACAGTGGGCGGGGGGGGGGGGGGGTTGTTACATGGGGTCCTCTGTGTGACCCTTGATCAGGGGTTAGGGTGGGAGCCTTCTGCTGATGGTGCTGCTTAAACTCCATGTGCTGGGGGCGCCTAGCCTGGTGGTGGTCCTGCCGTGGCTCAGCTCCGGGGTGGGATCGAGGGTGGGGGTGCACAGACCACATCCAGGTCCGTGGCCAGGCCCCCGAGGCCTGCTCTCAGCAAGCCTGAGCTGGCCCCGGCAGCTGTAGCCTCAGGGCACTCCTAGAACTTCCATTTGAAAGTAAAGGAATGGGAACGTGATCTCAGGATGTTTTCTGGTCATACAAAAGGGGCTGCTCACTTTCCCTTAGAAAAAAAAATGATAAAAAAGGAAGTCACCAAAGAGCAGTTTAACGGAAAATGTGATTATCGCAAACACAGGTGCCCCATGGTGGCCACACCCCCCTGCCCCCCCAGGTCTGTGTTGTTGGTGGGGTGCAGATGCAACAAGAAGTGGTGGGCAGAGAGGCCCAACCAGCCCTGGAGCTGCTGCTGGAGATCGGCTGGGGCCGAGTCCACCTGCCCCCCGCCCCCCGCCCATGGCCGCACTTTGTTGCCTCTGTGTCCCTGAGGTTGAGGTGATCATGTCGCCACAGTGGCAGGGAGTGGGCCTCCTGGGGTTCCTTGGCCTCTTTGGCAGCCTGCCCATATCTCAGCACCATTTCTGGTGTCCTGTGTCTGATTCCGGGCACAGGAGAGGCTCAGCCAGGACTGGACGCGTGGGTATGCGGAGAGGCAGCTCCCACAGAGGCGTTGGCACTGGTGCGGGACTCCTGTGAGTCTGCTTGGTCTGCCGCACGTCATACCCCCTGCTTGGCGTTCTAACCATGCTCCGGGGGCCACAGTGAAATCCACTGTCGAGGGGGCTGAGACCCTGGTGCCGTGGGAAATCAGAGCTGTTTCCCTTCCAAGGAGGAGGGGGTGTGCGGCTTTGCTTCCTCGGAGGTGGAAGCTGGGTCTAGGACTGCTGGAGGCTGGCGGGCTCCTCCAGACTTGACTTGTCAGTTTTTCAAAATAGCCAACCTTTCTTGAGTAGATCCAAAGCATCCGAAGTGTGTTTTTTGAAAGGAGCTTTATTTGTGGTGTTAATTTTCATGAGTTACATGGAAATTCTTTAGTTTGTGTCATGCTAACGTTAGTGAAGTTCTGGCTGTACCGGTGTTCTCCCGATGGCAACAGATCCTGGGCCTGCCTGAGCTCCGTTTTGGGGAATGTGAGCAAGTGGCACAGTGCGTCTGCTGGCTGCAAGTGGCCCGTACTCTGTTGGGTGCCACTGGTGTGGCTTACAGAGGGGCCACGGGACATTGGTGATGGGGGTTAGTGGCCACCTCCAGGAGGGCTCAGTTTGCTCTCGAGGGACCTTGAGGAGGCAGAGGAGAGAAGGCATGCATTCGACATTCGATGCGGGCACCTGCACAGTGGGCTTTCCAGGGGATGGACAGCAGGAGGTGCCACGCCACTTGCTGGGGGGCGGGCATGCGTCCTGTGAAGGACCGGCATCCTCTTTGCAGTGTGAGGCATGGGCAGGAAAGTAGTGGAACTTCCAGAATTACGGTGTGGCCTCCCTCTGCACAGCTGCCTGTGAGCCCAGGAGCTTCGTGGGGACCCTGTGCCAGGGCCTTCATCTGTCAGGCTCTCCGTGTATCAGGCACACTGGGTGCTCGTATGTGCAGGGCAGGGAGTGGCCATTCACCTATAGGCCTCACTGTTTCCACAAAACTCCTTTCCCAGGGCCACCACTGTGCGCTACAAAGGAAGAAACCTACGGATCAAAGCGCCCATGTGCCGTGCTCTGAAGAAGCTCTGCGACCCGGACGGTATGTGATCACGGACGTGGGGATGGCGGGGGCGTTGCCTCCTGCGGCTGCCCTCACAGTGGCTCTGAGTCCGCTTCATCTGGTCCTGCCCGTTGGCAGCACCTGGACTCGAAACTCCTTGTCACACCGTGTGTCCCCTGAGGCAGTCAAGTTTAGCTCAGAAGCTACGGCATGTTCAGACAGAGTGTCGTCGTGATGAGCAGGTCTCTGTGGGCTCCTGTGGCCTGGCCGGTGGCTCTGGCTTGTAGATCCCAAGTGGCCATGTTGGCATTCCTTCTTGAGAGCATGGATCCCTGCGGGCTTCTCTGCCAGCCTTGCTGTCGCTCATGGGGCTGTTTGCCCAGAGCTTCTCGTGGATTTTGTTATTTGTGTGGCAAGGCGCTTGCGTCCTATGTTAAGGTTCACGGGTGCCAGGCTCTCATGGCCCCTTCTTGTCGTAGGCTTGAGTGACGAAGAGGACCAGAAGCCAGTGCGCCTGCCCCTGAAGGTCCCAGTAGAGCTGCAGCCAAGGAACAACCACGCCTGGGCCCGCGTGCAGAGCCTGGCCCAGAACCCGAGGCTCAGGTAACTGTCGTGGCGGCCCTCAGCCCCAGGGGTCCCACTCCGGCAGGGCTCTCAGGCCGAGCACAGGAAGCAAAAGGATGTCGTGGTTGACAGGTTGATGGCTACAGAATCTTTCTCTCGTCTTTACCCTCAAAAGCCCTTCCACTCCTCTCTCCCCACCTCCCTGAAGATTTATGTCTGACTCATACACAGGACACCACAGAGGGTGTGGACCGTTTTTCATTTAGACATCTTTTTTGATTGAGGTAAAATTCTTGTAACTTAGAATTAACCATGTGTCATTTTAAGGTGTCGAACTCAGGGCCCTGGGCACCTTCACAGGGTGTTGTAGAATTTCCCCCTCTGGCTCCAGAGCTTCCCATCACCCCGAAAGGAAACCTTGCACCCACTGAGCCCTCGCTCCCCGCCCCCAGCCTCCGCCACATCTGCTGTCCGTCTCTAGGCCTGCCTGTTGTAGACAGTTCGCGTAGTGTGGCCCATCTGCTCTTCTGTCAGCTGCTCTCCCCGAGCCTCGTGTTCTTGAGGTTTGTCTCCATCAGGACGTCTGGTTTCCACGTGGATTTAAATTTTCTCAGTGTTAATTAAGGCCGGTCCTGGTCCACAGGGTACTGAGGGTAGGGCGGTGGGTTGTACCGCTGTCCACATCCTGGTGGAGATCTTTTACTATGCAGAAGGGGCACGGGGGTGGGGGGGGCTCTCTTCTTTTCTTACAGCTTCACGCGAATCTCTAGTTCACTCCATTTAAAGGACTAATTTTTGAGACAAGGAATCAGTGGCCCTGCTGGGGCCCTGTGCCTCCGGCCCCTCCTTGAACGCTCTCTCCACCATCCATGGCCTTGGGTCCTCTTGCTGCTTCAGCCTCATGCTGCTCCTCCAGACGTTCCCTCCCTGTGTAACAGCCACCCGTCCTGCCTGTGGTTTCTTTGCAGGATGATTGTGGAGCTCCACCGGAAGGTCTCCAGCCTCATCGAGTTCCTGAAACAGAAGTGGGCGCTCCATGAGGTGCGGATTGTATCCTTTCCCTACTCACGTGGCCTTGCCCCTACCCCAGAGCACCTGCTGCTTAAGGATAGTCTTGCTTCTCCGTCCTGAGTGCAGTCAGTCCCGTGGGGTGGCATGGAACCAGAACCAAACTTGCAGTCCTCTGTCTTCTGGGGTTCGGGTGGGAGTCCCTTCTGGCTCCCTAAGCTGCAAGTGGCCACTGTCTGACCTATGTGGTAGGTTAGGGAGCACACGAGGCGTCCCTATCAGTAGGTTGAGTAAAACAAGCACAGATGGCCCCATACTTCTCATGTTCTTGGCTGCCTCCCAGCCTGCCATCCCAGCCGGCAGGGTGCTGGTTGGTAGAGGAAATGCCTGGCTCACGCTCTGTCTGTGGCCCGGTGGCACACAGCAGGGCCCGCTCCTGTGGCTGCTCCTTGACTGAGGTCCCAGCGGAAGACACTCGAGGATCGGCAGCTGCAGCACTCACTTCCAGAGCCGTCGCAGGAGAAGGTGGCCTTGCACCTGTTCCCCGGAGAGAGTTGCACGCTGACGCCACTGCCAGGAGTGGCCCGAGTCGTGCACTCCAAGGCCTTCTGCACGGTGCACTGGCAGGAGGGTGGCCGGTGCAAGCAGGGCTCCAAGGATGCCCACACATTGCCTCCGGCCCAGATCTTGGGCATCCAGAGCGGGCAGGGCACGGCCAGGGGCCAGGTGAAGTGTCCTCGGGGTGGCACCGAGGGCAAGGGCCCGGGACGACCCCCTCCTTCCACCGATGCCTCACAGAGCTCTGGAGAGAGTTCCCCTGAAAGTGCTCCTGGGGAGGGGGCCGCCCCGAGCCTTGGCAGTCTAGACACTCCAGACAGGCTGCCCACTGGGCCCCAAGATGCTGGGGGGCGGCTTGAGAAGACCCCCACAGCTGCTCCTGCAGAGGGCAGGGATGGCCTCACCCGAGAGGCTGCAGATGTGATGTGCGCCTGCGGCCAGCTCCCAGAGCTGGAGGATGAGCTCTCCCTCCTTGATCCCTTCCCGCGCTACATGAAGTCCTGTCAGGACCTCATCGTCCCTGAGCAGTGCCGCTGTGCAGACTTGCGGCCCTCAGGCTGCGCCTCCCCAGAGACTCGCGTCCCCGGCAGTGCAGAGGTGGCCGACCTCGCCCGGGCTGGGGCACCATCCCCCGTCCGTGCCACACCAGGTCCTGAGCCTCAGCCTGGCCCCGGGCTCCAGCCAGATGTTTGCACTAAAGACTCATCAGAGGCACCTGCAGAGGAGCCCCAGGAGAAGGTGAACCCCTCGGATCCCCCGCCTCAGGGACAGCCTGCTGCCAAGCTTCCTAAAGATGTCCCCGCCAGCCGGCTAGCCCAGCAGCTCCGCGAGGAAGGCTGGAACCTGCAGACCTCCGAAAGCCTAACGCTGGCCGAAGTCTACCTCATGATGGGCAAACCAAACAAGCTCCAGCTGGAGTATGACTGGCTGGCTGTGCTGGGTCCTGAGGGCCAGACCCCCGGCGGGCAGGCCCAGGGCCCCTGCCCCGCCGCCACGCCCTCCACCTTCCACAAGCAGCGCCTCCTCAGCTGCCTCCTGAAGCTCATCTCCACCGAGGTCAACCCCAGGCTGGTGAGTGAAGCTCGAGCATAGCCCTGCTGGCGCCCCAAGGAAAGTCTGGCCCAGTCTGAAGTCTCTCAGCAGAGCAACTGGGTCCAGGGGGAGGGAGGCAGGGACCGGGTGACCAGGCAGGCCACGCTTCCTTATCTCAAGCTGGGCTTGGTAGCGAGGGTTCTGGTTCGCCGCAGGCATGGGCTGTGTCCCACGTGGCTCACATGAGGCTCCATGGACAACCGTGACCAAGAACCCATTCCTTGCCAGGCTTCAGTTATGCTAAGCTCTCCCTTGCTGGCCAGAGGGACAGCGTGTGCAGAGGCAATGCAGTACCCATGGCCGGGAGCCAGGCAAACATGCAAGTTTCAACAGAGGGAATGACAGTGTCCTTTGTGCTTTAGGGTGGCCATCGTGGGAGGACACACTTCATCCTGGGAGCACAGCTTCAGGGCAGGGAGTGGAGTGGTGAGGGCACAGATGAAGGGCTCTGGAGCTCCTCAGGGGGCTCCGTGGTGGCTGGTCCCTAAGCCTGGGGAGTGGCTATGACTTCTCCTGGGGTGTCTGGTCAGAAACAGGGCAGAGGTTGCCCCCTATGAGAGAAACCCCAGTGAGCTTTCCTGGGACGAGAAGATGGCATCTGAAGCAGGAGCTCCTAAGTTGCCGTGTGTGCTTGGCGCTGGGGAGTGCAGGGCTTCACGGGTTCCCAGAGCAGCGGCCGAGGGAGCGGCACATAGTTGCCAGGAGAGAGTGGAGCTTGGGGGACAGGATGGGGCTGTGGGGACCCTGGGGGACAGAATGGGGCTGCCGGGTCACATCTGCGCAGCACACCTGCCACTTCTGGACAGGTGGCCCTCACCGTGCCTCCTGCAGGGCTTTTCTATGCCCTTCCTGGCTGCATCCCTGTGCTGCCTTTGCCATAGACAGGTGCTCAGCAGAGCACACGGGGACACGAGGGAGATGACTGTCATGGCGTGATGGGACCTGGCTGGAAGCTGCAGAGGCAGCCGAGGAGTGAGCAGTGGCCTTTAGATTGAGTGCTGTGGAAGCTGGCGAACTGCAGGCAGGCATGGGCAGCATTGGGGCAAGTGGGTAGAGATGCAGTTAGAAAACGTTTTAGAGGGGGTCCCTGGGTGGCTCAGCGGTTTAGCGCCTGCCTTTGGCCCAGGACGCAATCCTGGAGTCCCAGGATCGAGTCCCGTGTCAGGCTCCCAGCTTGGAGCCTACTTCTCCCTCCTCCTGTGTTTCTGCCTTTCTCTCTCTCTCTCTATGTCTATCATAAATAAATAAGTAAATCTTAAAAAAAAAAAAAAAAAAGGAAAAGAAAAAAGAAAATGTTTTAGAGGGCAGGCCAAGTGGTTCAGCGGTTTAGCGCCACCTTCAGCCCAGGGTGTGACCCTGGAGTCCTGGGATCGAGTCCCACGTCGGGCTCCCCATAGGGAGCCTGCTTCTCCCTCTGTCTGTGTCTCTGCCTCTCTCTCTTTCTGTGTCTCATGAATAAACAAAATCTTAAAAAAAAAAAACTTTATAGAGTGAGGCTTCTGGAGGAGAGGAAACTGGACGGACAGGAGCAGGTCCAGAGCCCTACAGGAGGTGGAAGCAGGGGACGCAGACACTGGCCTTGGCCTCGACTGAGAGAGGAGGGCTGGCAGCTTGGAAATACTGCAGAGAATTCAAAGCAGGCTGCTCAGAGCCATGCCCTAGAGTGGGGCCCCAGCAGCAGCTTCTGCGCCACCCAGGGACTCAGGAGAGATGCAAGTTCTTGGGGCCTAGAGGCTATGGGGACACACACACACACACACACACACTCTCTCTCTCTCTCTCTCTCTCTCTCTCTCCCCCCCAGCTGATTGTGATGCAGCTCAGCCCTGAGAACCACTGGGCAGAGGCCTGAGCTGAGCTCAGAGCCCTTGTGTGAAAGATGGGCCGGAGGCCCCTTTGTAGGGGTGGAGCACTGCCGAGCAAGTGCAGCCCACGCCCAGGCCTCTGGATAAGCAGGACCTTGCAAGAGGCTACTAGGTGCAGGGGGCCCCGTTGGATGGTGACACTGAATAAGCTAAGTAGGACGTGACAGCGGGCAGGGCAGGGGCAGAGGTCCCTCGGAAAGGAAGAGGTGGGTCAGGACTGGGCACTGAGCAAGCAGAGCGGGCAAGGTGGTGCCGAAAGCAGGGGAAGGTTGGCCCTGGGGGAGCCCTGATGGCGGGCGCTGCAGAGACTGGGGAGGGGTCACCAGGATGAGGACAGAGGTGGGGTGGAATGGGTTGTCCCTGTGGCAGGGTTCCTCACACTCAGCCACAGCTGAGCCAGAGGCCTGCAGGATCCCTGAGGTTAGCACTTTGACTCAGCAGAGGACTTTTTTGACTACAGCTTTGTTTAATTCTAGAAATTAAGTCTGTATTTCCTTCCTCTGACTCACAATCAGGATAGTCCACTGTGGTCCTCTTGAGCAGGCATTTAATTTTTTTTTGTTTTTATTTTTTAAAATATTTTATTTATTTATGCATGAGAGACACAGGGGGAGGCAGAGAGATACAGGCAGAGGGAGAAGCAGACTCCATGCAGGGACCCTGATGCGGGACTCGATCCTGGCACCCTGGGATCACACCCTGGGCCCAAGACAGAGGCTTAACCGCTAAGCCACCTGGACGTCCCTTGCGTAGGCTTTTAAAAAGAGGAGTTCGTGTCGCCGCCCTGCCGTGGTCCCTCCGGCAGCATGAGCACCTCTCAGGCTGGCGGGAGACCCACTGCCTTCACCTAGGCTGAGTTCAACTTTGGTTGTGGCCCGTTTCTGTCCCAGGCTCCAGAAGGGAACGCCAGCTCCGTGGCTTCCGTGAGGCCCGCCCAGGAGGAGCAGTTGGCTACCCCGCCAGGGAAGGTGGTGACCGTCAGCTCCCGGAGCCCCCGCTGCCCGCGGAGCCAGTCTGCCCTCCGCAACAGCAAGACCTTCTCTCCCAGCTCTGCGCCTTGCTCCTCAGGTGAGGCTCCGCCACCGGTGCCTTTCTGGGTGTGTGGGCTATGCCTGAGCCCAGGGCACGGTGTGCCCGATGTCTGGCCCCGCTCGGCTGATAGCTGTCCTGCCCATGGTGTGTGGCAACAAATCCCACCTTTCGCAGGGAGGGTGAGCGCCAGGCCTGTCACCTAAGGCTTGGGATCCTGGGGTGCTGAAGCCAGTGGGAAACATGGGGTGGCCCTTGCCAGTTTGGTCACTCTGGGGGATCTTTGTAAGGTCAGTGGAAGCCTCTAGAGCATGCCGATTCGGTGCCTGAAAGCCCGAGAAGGGACCATTCCCTGGTACTTTTGACGTGTTGTAGAAACCCTCGGGTCAGGGAGGCCCCGGCACTTTTACAAGGTCTTGGAAGGAACGGTGTGCTGACCTGCTAGTCTGCAGTGTCCTTTGTCCAGGCCGTACCTGAGGAGTAGTTTCAATTCAGGGCCGTTCCTTGGGTTTTCTGGTATCTGAGGCAACAGGGATTGAGGACTGGCCTGGCCTTTGTGTCCTGTGTTCAGGGGCTTCCACGCCAGGTGTGAGGGGCTTCGTTACCATCCCCATGGGCCCGTGCCCTCGCTGCAGGACCTTGGCCATCCTGGATGCACCTTGAACATCCTGCACCAGCAGGTGTCTCTGCATCATGAGCACGGGCCTCATGAGCATGGGCCTCACACGAGAGGCAGTACCACGTCTGACCTAGTGTCCTGTGTGTCAACGGTTTCTTGGGTCTTTTTTTTCTCTTTCCTTTTCTTCCTTTCCTTTCCTTTCCTTCCTTTCCTTTCCTTTCCTTTCCTTTCCTTTCCTTTCCTTTCCTTTCCTTTCCTTTCTTTTCTCCTTTCCTTTCTCCTTTCCTTTCTTTTCTTTCTCTCTCTCTCTCTTTTTTCCTTCAAGATTTATTTATTTGAGAAACAGCATGCATGAGCAGGAGGGGCAAGAGGGAGAGGGAGAGAGAATCTCAAGCAGACTCCAGCATGGAGCCCGGTGTGGGCCTTGATCCCACAGCCCCACGAGTCAGCGGCCTAACTGACTCACCCAGGTGCCTGGGTTATTTTCTGTTCCGAGCACATCACTAGCTTTCTGTTTCCTCTGTGTTGCGGATACATGCCTCTCGACTGAGAGTCCTGTGTGGCCTCCGGGGTAGCTGAGGCTGGATCAGGTGTCCGTGCAGCCCAAGGCACAGGTAGCAGTGGGGGCTGGCTGCCACAGGCTGTAGTCTCTTCTGCCTTCCAGAGCCAGCAGTTACTCTCTGGCTTGCTGACCTCTGGTCTGTGCTAGATGGTCCAGAAGGTTCTTCCAGTTCTCAAATGTCTTTACAGGCCATCTGCCCTTCCCACCTGGGACCAAAGTGGCAGAGTACCATCATGGTATCAGAGTCATGATTCGCTCATACTGGGAGCTAGAGTTCCAGAGAGAAAGCTGGGAAGGCAGGTGTTGGGGACTGAGATCTAGGAGATGCTTCCAAGGAAACGGAACCGGCTGTCCCGTATTCCTTTCCGGTTTTCTTTCGGGGAGAGCTCTGTTTGTGCTGGCAATGCTGCTGGGTGAGTGGTCGTGTTTGCTCTCCCTTGGCTTCCAGGTCTGAGGAACCCGCCCAGACCCCTCTTGGTGGCGGGCCCCTCTAGCACAGGCAACAGTGACTCCGACGGTGGCCTTTTTGCCGTTCCCACCACTCTGCCGCCCAATAGCCGACACGGGAAGCTCTACTCTCCCAGCAAAGAAACAGAACTGACTTTCCGTCAGCACCTGAACTCCATCAGCGTAAGTAGTGGAGCTGCACTGCCATTGGGGGCGGGGGCTCCGCATCCGGGGAGCGTGCTCTCAGGCCCCCGCCCTCTCCTTGCAGATGCAGTCAGATTTCTTCCTGCCGAAGCCCAGGAAGCTGAGGAACCGGCACCTGCGGAAGCCACTGGTGGTGCAGGTCAGGGCACCCACGTGGGTCTGGGCACACCCCCCTCCGGGTCCCCTGCTGGGAGAGGGAGACTCCCCGCTGAGCAGGGAGCCTGACACGGGGCTCCATCCCAGGACCCTGGCATCATGACCTGAGCCGAAGGCAGATGCTTCACCCACAGAGCCACCCAGGTGCCTCCTCCTTCTTTCTTATGCGTAGGACACGCAGAGTAATCACAGGGCTGACCGTTCCCTGAAGTAATCTTTGCACAGCATGAAAACCACTTGCACAAGAGGCAGGAAGTTCTGGGGATTCGAGTCCCAAGCGTCCTGGGTTAGGATGTATTCGAGGACTCTCGGAGCCTCTATAAATACACAGCCGGCAGAGGCAGTTGGCAAGTAGCTGGGGTGGCCAGAGGCCAGACATCTCCTGAGCTCCCCACAGTGAATGCTGGGTCCCCATGGAAGCCATCGGCCCCCGAGGGGACAGCCAGGTAGGGAGCGGCCCGTGAGCACGGGTGAGGCAGGAATTCTGTGATGACCAGCAGCTAAAATGTATGGATGTGTATTATTTTGCGATAAATGTATAGCTTTCTGTTTGTTTTGTTAGTCTCTTCGAAATCTCTTCCTCTTGAGATTAAATCATTTAGAAACGAGAGCTTAGTGACAGATCTCAGGCAGTCCGGTGCGCGGCAGGCCCCCCATCCTGAGCTTTGCTTTCTGTGGTTTGTACCCGAGGTCAGCAGGAAGCAGGTGATTCTCCTGACGTGTCATCAGGTCTGCAGTACCCTCGCACCGCGTCCTGTGCCTGCATCCTGACCTCGCTCACTCCGTGGGCAGAGATGAGCGGGACCAGCGCATGCGGCACGATACGCTGTTTGGCGAGTGAGGCCTCGCTGACGTCACTTCTGTGTCAGTGTGTAGTTACGGTTCTGTTTTCGCGATTGGTGCTGTTAGCTTGTTGCTGTGCCTAACTCACAAATGAAACTGTCATAGTTCCATCCCTAGGAAAAAATGGTGTGTGTAGGGTTTGCTACCATCTGCAGTCTGAGGCATCCCTGGGGGCGTGGGGACATGGTCCCTGCACGTAGGGGGACCGTGTGTCTAGATCCCAGGTGTCGTGTGTGCATGCATGTGGGCAGAGTCAGTACCGCCACACTTGAAGTATGCGAATCATCCCCCTGGAAGTGGTTAGAAACTCCCCAGATGGATGGCACATCTGTGGCTCTTTGGTGCAGGGTTGTGAGCCTGCATGGCCTGTGGAGGTGGTTTTTGTTGAGCTTTGTAACAGCTTTGTTGATACGTGCGTCGCATAGCCAGGAGGTCTGAGGGGTTAGTGGGCCTTCATGCACTCGGGTTGTGCAGCCATCACCGCGGTCTGATCCCAGAACATTCCATCTCTCCATTGCCTCGAGTGCCCCTCCACTCCAGCCCCAGACAGGCACTATCTCTACTCGCATTTTCTGTCTGCAGATTTGCCTCTTCTGAGCATTTCACGCAAATGGAATCACACACAGTATACGGGCTTTTGCATTTACTGTTTTTATAAAAAGTGTTGTCGGCACACGGCGAAAGGCCCTCACTTCCCTGCTTCGCACTCTGCTTTCCCGCCACTGGGGCAGAGTGGCGGGGCCTCGACAGCCTCGCGCTTCCTGCCGCCCTTTCTGGCGGCGTGCATCTGCAGCAGAACCAGCACACGGCCTCCGCGGCTCCTTGCCATGGGGGACCCCCCCCCCGTGCCGTGCCATTGGTGACTCCAGTAGCGCCCCCTCCTCTCCACTCCTGCGACCCCGAGGGGCAGGGGGATGTCCTTCTCACCTTAGCGGGAATGCACCCAGCACTCCAAGGTGTCTCAGGACGTCTATGACGGTTCCAGCAACTCACGTAATTTCCTGTGAGGTGACAGGCCACTGCACCGGCACCGCATTGCTGCGAACCGGGAGGCCTGGCGGGTAATCCGGGAGGGTGGGTGCTGGACCGGCAACTGAGGCAGCATGCCCATGCCCTTAGTCCGTCAATGGGGTTGGGAGCCACTATATTTCCTTTGCCACGAGCGTGAGGCCCCGGATGTGGGGGTGGGTGTCGGGAGAGTGTCCGCCCGGTGCCCAAAGCAGATGCACACGCTGCAGGGCATCCCGGGTGAGCGGTGGGCCATCCAGCCATCCTTGCAGCACTGCCCAGGCGAGGTAGGCTCCTCTGGGTTCTTCTCAGGCCTGGTGCTGGGGGCTCTGCTGCCCTCGATGTGTCCGGGTGCCCTTGTGTCGTCAGCCCCAGAGCCAGGGCCCCCTCGGGACACACCCGGCCCGCCTTGCCTGGAATGCCCCTTACAGCCTGCCCCTGGTTTCCTGAGTGATTCCTGGCGCCGGCGTCTTTCCATCGTCTCACTATCAGCACTCTTGTCTCCACAGAGAACGCTGCTTCCTCGACCATCTGAGCACCAGTCCCACAACGTCTGTTCCTTTTCCATCCTGTCCAATTCCTCTGTGACTGGTGAGCACTCAGGCTCTTTGGGGCACTTTTCATCCCTTTCCGGCACGGCCCCCGTCTTTGGGAACGGCAGGTGTGCCCGCGGCTCTTGGCAGGATAGCCCGAGCACCCCCTTGTCTGTTCTGTCCACGAAGCCTGCATGTGCACCGTGCTTGGCCCGGGCGGTGTGGGGGCAGGAGCCCCGTGGAGCCCGGCTCTGAACAGTGCTGTCTCACACGGGGGGTGTGGCTGAGTGAAGCGCGTGCTGTGACCCGCCCTTTAAGTGCAGCACACACTGTGACACTGCGCCACCGGCTTTCCTTGTGCCCCCTCAGCTGCAGAAAGTTCAGTGAGGGGGCTGAGGCGCAGGGGCAGAGTCCTGGTGCAGGACCGTCGCCTGGGGTGGGGTGCCTGTCTCCCATGACGGCCCCCCGCAGGGTGGCATACTGACTGCGGCCGTTGGGCAGCCCCTGGATGCATGTGCTGCCGGGGCTCCCTCCTGGACAGGTGTCGGGACCCTGTCTTCCTTGTGACTCCCCAAGTCCACAAGCATTTGGGAACTTTGGTGCTTCCTTCTGAGGCTCAGTTTGGTGACTGTTTCTCTCAGGGAAACACTTCGAGGCCCTTGTTGTGCATTCAGATGACGCGGGCTGATGCATCCGCTTCTGTTCTTTCCCCCCAGGGAGAGGCTCCTTCCGGCCCATCCAGTCTTCTCTGACCAAAGCAGCCCTGTCTCGGCCGATTGTGCCCAAGGCCCTTCCGCCCCAGGCCACAGGTCACCTGGCCAGTAAGTTTCTGTCACCAGCGGGACAGACACCACGCGAGGGTTCCGAGTGAGGTGTCTGTTCCCTTCTCCCAGCCACGCGTCTCTTACTGTTTGGGGAAAATGGGACGCGTTCGGTGTCCCTAAGCCCCCTGGGCACTTGGCACGGTGTCCCTGCAGTTGAGGTTCCAAATGTCCTTTCTGCTACCAGGTGCTATTGACTTAGCAGCTAAAAGTGCTGGAATCATTCCGGGAAGCCCCCTCCCTGTCTTGGACGCTGAGGGCTTGTCCAGCATCTCCCCACTCTCTTCAGACGAGGTGACCGCCACCGTCCCGGGTCCGGAGTCCACTGGCACCCATCGCAACGGAGACTCCATCCCCACCGTGGGGGTGAGTATGCCTACAAAGTCTCCTCCACACCACCAGCTCCTCGCATAGGGCAGTCCCCTGTCAGAGGTGTGGGCGCCAAGACCATGAGGCCAGGGTTGTGCTGGACCCCAGTTCCGCCTGTCAGGAGCGATGGGCCCTAATAGGCCCCGGTAGAAGGCCTGAACCAGGGGGGCCGCGGCATAGGTGAGCCCTGGCACCCCAAGGGGAGAGCCCCAGATGGGGGCAGTGGGGACAGGCTCGCTGCGATGCCAGAGAGTCCAGAGCTGTGACAGGCCGGACCTCTTTCTGCCTGTACAAGTCACTGGGTCTTCGGCCTCACCAGCCGGCAGTACACCCCACGCCCCCCTGGCCGGCACGCCTCTGACCCCGCGCCCCATGCTCAGGCTGTGCTGGGACCAGGGTATCTCTTTGAACTGACAGCCTCAGTTGTGGGGACCTGGTGACCCAAGCTAGTCGACAGGGGTCTCCTGACCCTCTGGCTTCTAGGGACTCGCGGGTGGGGATGCTCACTGGCTCTCCTGGTGTCATAGGGCACAAGCGACCCATTCATCAGCGTCCCCTCGAGGCCTGAGCAGGAGCCAGTGGCGGACGGTTTCCAGGTAGGGCGCGCTGGTAGCTGCAGAGCAGTGTGGCTGCCAGGCCCGGCCCCCAGCCTGTGGTCTTCCCGTGCCCTAGCCTCGCTCCCCTAGGGTCGTAGCGGGAACACGTAGGCAGGCCCTGACACCTGGCGGTCTCGTCCTTTGCCCCTTCACCTCGACAGATGAGCAGGTGGCCCCCGTCTCTGGCTTCCCTTCCCCTCTGCAGGGCGGCCTGTTTCAGCTGCGCTCCCAGGAGGACGAAGGGATTAGGGCCGGAGGGGCGGAGGTCCTCAGGCAGTAGTGTCCCTGCTCTTCCCCTCTGCCTGGCCTCCAGCCATCCTGCCTGCAGGGGACCAGGGCCAGGTCACCTCGGCTGCGGCCGCCTCGGGCTGGCCCTGCACGGCTGCCGTGCCTGGAGAGGTTTCAGGAGAAGTAAACCCACTGCGTGTGTCTTATAGAGAAGGTGGTTGCTGGTGTCATTTCCCTCTCAAGTTCTCTGTCCCTCAGTCACGGCCGTGTAGGGCCAAGGCCAATTTGCTGTTCCGAGCCCCTGATGACCCATTGTATCCTCCGCCAGGGCTCGCCGGTGCTGTCCTTATCCGAGCTGTCCAAGGCTCCTCTGCACAACGGGCCCCCCGCGCCCCTGCCTGCGCCGGAGGGCTCCAGCAGCCGCCTGTCCCCACCCAACGTCTCTGCGCTGCTGGATATCTCCCTGCCCGGGCCCCCTGAGGACGTGCTCTCGCAGGGCGAGCCCGCCACGCACATCAGCGACTCCATCATCGAGATTGCCATCAGCTCCGGCCAGTACGGTGAGGGCCGAGGCTCACGTGCCCCCCACACCAGGCCCACGGGGTCCCAACCTCCCGCCAGGTGTCTGCACACTTGCTGGGCACTCCCCTGTCCCGTGGAGCACCTGCTGTACGGGGAGCACTGGGCAGCCCGGCGGGGGCAGGCACTGCAGCCTTGAGGACAGGGAACGGGTCCAGGGTTCAGATGAGGCCTGTGTGTGGTGGCTCTGAATCTGGGTGGACGCTTGACGTTGTGCGTGTCCCGGGAGGGGGTTGGACTCACTGGCTCTCTGCGACTCTGCGACGGCACTTGCTGGTCTGCTTCGGGCTGCAGATTCGCACAGAACTGGACTCCCACTTTTGCGCTTTACTTTTGTTGGTAAAGTTGAGAAACGTGCACCCTGAAGGGCTGGTTTTGGCGCCAGTGAGCGAGAGGGTTTGGGGCTGCTGTCTGTGCAGGGTCTGGCGCTATCTGCACAGTGACAGCCACCGTCCTTTCCTGAGACGGGACATGGCCCCTGCTGCCACGGGCCCCTCCACAGGCCAGGATCATTTGTCCTCCGTGGGGCCCTGTGGGCTCCTGGGTCGAGACGTGCCATGGTGCACGGCTGTGCCACCCTGCTGCTTTCTTGGTGCATAGGTGACGCAGGATGCCATTCCCCGATCCTGGCATCTCTGACCCAGCGTTTTGGTTGACAGGTGAGGGAGTCCCTCTTTCTCCGGCAAAGCTGAATGGCAGTGACAGCTCCAAAAGTCTTCCATCCCCTTCTAGCAGCCCCCAGCCAGACTGGATCGCCTCCCCCACCCATGACCCCAGTGGTGCCCCAGCGACCCCACGGACTCGTCGCTCAGCAGCTTGTTTGGTGAGTGTCTGCAGGGCGCCTGGTCTCTGTCCCAGGGCAGCAGGCACCGCGGGCTCCCTGTGGCACGGTGACAGGGACTGGAGTCTGCACTCAGCCACTGGGACTGCCACCGGTGGGACTGCCACCGGGACTGCTCGTTTCGGGGTTTCTCCCGCGTCACTTACGCAGGGGGACGCGCCGAGGTCTCTAGCGAGCTCGTCACTGAGCTCTGGTGACTGACATCCGTGTGACACTCAGCCCGGCCGTGCCCTTTGCTGGGCTGCCCGCTGCCCGGCTCCTGCCTGCTGGGCTTTCTGCCCCTGCTGCAGTGCGGGGGTGGGAGGCGTCCCTTCCTAGCTTGGGCAAGGGTTCCGGAGCGCGTGTTCCCACGGGCTCTTGGCGTGTTGACCGTGGACCCGGGTGTCGACAGGACGGGTTCCCCCTCCCCGGGCCGCAGGGGTTGGCGTGGTGGCAGGGGCCGCCAGGGGCAGTCTCAGCGGCCTCAGCCGCCCATGTGGGAGACGCTCCTCAGCCCTTGGGGACCGGCACCCTGGGTTTCACAGGGTGGCCGGGCCACGAGTGTGGGGATGCTGGCAGCCCTAGAAAGGGGCTGTTGTACATGTGCACCTGGTGGGCATCCGTGTGGGTGCCACGCCTGGGGGCCCGGTCTTCTGTGATGAGCAACACGTCGAACCGGGCAGGAGTGCCGAGGTGAGGGTGATCTGGACCGCAGAAGGCGCGGGGCCTCTGGGAGACAAAGCCGCCCCACATGTGCTGCAGGGCTCACTCACCGGGGCTCAGCATGTGAGGGAGCCCTGGGGCTGCGTGAGGCTCTGTGCAAAGCCGTGTGGCCACACGCATGTACGGCAGATGCCAGGAGGGGCCGCCTGCAACCTGCAGGGTCCTCCCCTTGGACGGAGCCCGGCGAGCCGGCCTCAGGGGGTCTCCTTCTTCCCTTGGCAGCGAGCTTCATCTCGCCAGAGAAGAGCCGAAAGATGCTGCCGACCCCCGCGGGCACACAGAGCGGCACGTCCCTGCTGGGCCCCAGCCTGCTGGACGGCAACTCGAGAGACTCGTTCGTGTCCCGGTCCCTCGCTGACGTTGCTGAGGTAGGCGCACAGCGTGAGCTCACGCTGGACCAGCGGCCCGCCTTCGGGAGGTTGCCGGATCCCTCCGGCAAGGCAGGCCCTTGACGTTCTCTGAAGTCTGAGTTCTCTTGACGGGGACGGCGGACGCTAGGCGACCGCTCTGCCTCGGAGGCATCCGGTTGACCGCGGGGCCTCTGCTGGCAGCCGGCTCGGGGCCTGGATCCTGTTCGGGCTGTGTAACCTGGGGCAGGTGGCGCCGCTCTACCTGCCTCGGGTTCCTCGTCCGTAGGTGGCAGCTGTGGTGGGCGGTCATCGAGGCCGCCGCCCAGCTAAGGTGAAAAGTGGCTCAGGGTGGTGGCCGACCCTTGACGGGGTAAGATGCGGCCTGTGACACCCCCTTCTCTCTGTCCACTGAGGGAGCAAGTCAGGCTCGCTAGGACAAGCGCATAGAGCGTAGCGCTCTGAGAGAAACTGAGGCAGAAGACGTGCCTAAGAGGGAGAAATCGTCCTCGTAGAACTACAGCCCCCTGGGTTAAAGGCCTGGAGCAGCCTCTCCCGAGTACTTTGCTTCCCCAGGACGTCCCGGTGCTGGTGGTGTCTCTACGCGGTGTCATAGTCCGATCCCTGAGGGAAGCCCTGGGTGGTTCCTCATTATCTGAGGGTATGTGGGGATCTGAGGACCCCGTGGGGACACTTTGGAGAAGCCTGAGCTGAGCCGTGACGTGATTAGAAGTTCTACAGAGACACAAAGAACGCACCGCCTCCCCTGCCTGCACGCTGAGCGTTCCTTAAACTCCTTGTGGCTCATGTCACGTAAGAAGTCTTCCCCTTTCTGTGTGCGTGTGACGCTCACAAGCCCTCAGCTTCTCTGCAGAGGAGCCTGGCACACGTATGTGGAGACAGCTCGTCAAGACCCTCTGGTTCGGGGCAGTCTCCAGGGCAGTCTCCAGTGCTGAGGGGCTGTTACCACCTCAGGTGCATCCCAGGTCCACCTCAGATCCACCTCAGGTTCACCCCAGACTCACCTCAGGCCAACCTCAGGCCCTCCGCAGGTTACCTCAGGCCCACCGTAGGCCCACCCGAAGTTCACCTTAGGCTAATCTCAGGTTCACCCCAGGCCCACCCCTGGTTCACCTCAGGCCGATCTCAGGCCCACCCCAGGTTCACCCCAGGCCCACCTCACGTCCACCCCAGGTTCACCTCAGGCCGATCTCAGGCCCACCCCAGGTTCACCCCAGGCCCACCTCACGTCCACCCCAGGCCCACCTCACGTCCACCCCAGGTTCACCTCAGGCCCACCCCAGGTTCACCCCAGGCCCACCTCACGTCCACCCCAGGTTCACCCCAGGCCCACCTCACGTCCACCCCAGGATCACCCCAGGCCCACCTCACATCCACCCCAGGTTCACCTCAGGCCCACCTCAGATCCACCCCAGGTTCACCTCAGGTTCACCTTAGGTTCACCTCAGGCCCACCTCCGGCCCACCTCAGGCTCACCTCAGGCCCACCTCAGGCTCACCTCAGGTCTACCTCAGGCCCACCTCAGGCCCACCTCAGGCCCACCTCAGGTCCACCTCAGACCCACCTCAGGTCTACCTCAGGCCCACCTCAGGTCCACCTCAGGCTCACCTCAGGTCTACCTCAGGCCCACCTCAGGCCCACCTCAGGCCCACCTCAGGTTCACCTCAGGTCCACCCCAGGTTCACCTCAGGTCCACCCCAGGTTCACCTCAGGCCCACCCCAGGCCCACCTCAGGCCCACCCCAGGTTCACCTCAGGCCCACCCCAGGTTCACCTCAGGCCCACCTCAGACCCACCTTAGGGTCACCCCAGGCCCATCTCATGGGGTTTGAGCAGAAGTGATAGGCATGAAGGGTAGGTGGAAAAGGTGGGGCCAAATTGGCTCAGGTTGACAGTGATGGAAGCTGATGTGGAAAAGTATGGGGAAGATAGGCATTATTTGTTTTGCTTTTGTATTTATTATTTTTTAAAGTTTTTATTTACTTAGTCATGAGAGACACAGAGAGAGGCAGGGACACAGGCAGGGGGAGAAGCAGGCTCCACACAGGGAGCCTGATGTGGGACTCGATCCTGGGACCCCAGGATCACTCCCTGGGCTGAAAAAAGGCACTAAACCGCTGGGCTACCCAGGGATCCCCAGGTTTTTTATTTTTTAAGTTAAATTTAATTAACATGTAATAAACTACTGGTTTCAGAGGTAGAGGTCAGTGATTCAGCAGTCTTTTATAACACCCAGTGCTCGCCACATCGTGTGTCCTCCTCAGTGGCTGCACCCAGTCACCCTGTCCCTTCACCCCCTCCCCTCCAGCGACCCTGTCAGTTTCCTATGATCAAGAGTTTCTTATAGTCTTCCTCCATGATTTCATCTTGTTTTTTTTTTTCTTTTCTTCTCCTGTAATCCTTCTTTTGTTTCTTAAATTCACATATGATGGTGAGATTATATGATAATTATTTTTGTCTGATTGCTTATTTCACTTAGCATAATATCTTCTAGTTCCATCCACGTCATTGCAAGTGGGAAGATTTCTTTTTTTTTTATTTCCTGCTTTTTGAAAACAAATTTTAGTTTGAAATTTCTGATAATTTAAAGTTTATTTATTCGTTTATTGAAGTAATGTCTATACCCAATGTGGACAGAGTTCCACGTATTTGTCCTCGGGATAACCTAGCGCCTGAGGCTCTCATCCTTCTCCTTGTTGTCTTTTCTTGGTCTTACTCATTGTCCCATCTGCCAGTTTGCTTTTTTCTTGAAGAGCCGAGGCCCATTCTCACCTCAGGGTCTTTGCACTTGCTGTTGCTCTTATGGGTATGTGCTCCCCAAACCCCACCTGCTTTCTCCACTCCCGTGTCCTCCTGACCACCTGAGAGTCTCCGTGCTCCACTGGGTGCCATTTGCCTTGTTGCTTATTGATGGTCTTCCCATAAGTCTCATGTGCTGGGAACCACCACTCGGATCCCGGCAGCCCATGCGCCACGCTCACAGTCAGCTCTTGTGCACACTGGTCAAAAGAGGGGTTGATCAAAAGGACAGAAGTGATTCTGAAATTCTCCTGACAGCGCTGGGCCGGTGTCACATGGCTAGTTGGTGGGGGATTCTAGTTGTCACCATAGAGAGACATCTGATTCGATCATCTCCCACTGAAGTCCCCGCCACAGTGGCCAGTAGCTCCCAGTCCAGCGGCAGGCCAGCCGCCCGCTGACGTGTTCTTCCTTGTGCGCTCTGTCCTGCAGGTTGTGGATTCCCAGCTGGTGTGCATGATGAATGAGAACAGCATTGATTACATCTCTCGATTTAATGATTTGGCCCAAGAACTGTCCATCACCGAGCCTGGCCGCCGAGAGGTTCTGTTTGATGGCAGTGGGGGCGGCCCCCCCGTCGGTGACCTGTCCCAGTGAGCACACCTTGTCCCTGGTAGGGCATTTGGACGCTGCAGAGGAGGGCTTCCATGGCTGGTGGGCCTCAGCTGTGGTAGGTGTAGCCCTCTTCAGGCTAGAGAAAACATTAAGTCAAGCCCAGGACCTCCCAGAAGACAGTCTGAACAGAGGAGGCTCTGCCCCACAGAATGTACAACACGCAGGAAGCCACGTCCCAATGGGCAGAGGGCAGTGGTGGCCCGGGAGGCGAGGACGAGTTCTCTGGAAGAGCCCGTGTCAGACGTTGCTGTGGCGAGGGAGCGGCTCCCTGCCAGCCGTAACGTAGCGCACAGTGGCCACATTTCTTCTCAAGCATCCACCTCACTTGTTCTGTTGGACGTTCCACTGGGTTTACTCTCCGAGGGAAAGGACTAGGTGTGCCTTGGCGGTGGCAGCAGCAGTCGCAGGGACTCACAGTTTCCCTGTTCTCTGCAGGGACGCTTCCAGCCACCGCTGCTTTTTTTCTGCCAAACCTCTGCACCCTTTGGTGGTTTTCTCTGCGGATGATGGGGAAGCACAGCTGGGCGTGGCCTGGGCTGTGCCTGGCGGTGTCTACACCCTTGGTGGATACTCAAGAGGAGGACCCTCGGATCACAGGGCAGCGTACCTGGTGCCATCACTCTGGAAACGCTGACCCTTGCTTCGTGCGTTCTCCCACTTGGAGGTTTGTTCTGACGGACTTAATTGGGAGGGAGGAGAGAATCCTGTGCAGGTTGTGTGGACTTTTAGAAAACATCCTAAACTGGTTGGAAAAAGGTTTTCCTTGTGTTTTGAGCATTAGGAGATATTGAAGAAGAGAGTTAATGGTTTCCTTCCTGTGTTCAAGCTTCTTGGTCAACTAAGATGTTCCTTGTCTGTTGGAACCATAGCTGAGCCCTTGTCCGTGAGTCCCTGGGCCACCGGGGTGCTGCTGGCACGCATGGCCTTCCTTCCACAGACTTTTGTGCAGAGTCCACCCTGTGCATACATTTCATCCTTCATGTTCCCTCCCACCCACCTGGGTGCAGTCAGACTAAAACCACGTCCGTCTTGTGTGCTCCTGGGGGTTCCACGGGTGATCTTTGTCATCACTGCAGATGGTTCAGTGCCCAGTCTTTCCCCAGAACAGAGCTTCTCAGCCTCAGGAGACTTGGCAGACGAAACCCCATCCGGCCCTCTGGCCACCGTGGCTGGGAGCCGGTGCTGTAGTGGTGGCCAGGTAACACCTGTGCACCCCCAGCCCACTGCTGCTCCGCCCTCCGCCCACGGCCCAGAGTAGGCTCGCTCCCGAAACCCGCCTGGATTGACGACAGCTTCTCTTTCCTGTTCCGACTAGCGGTGGAGTAGTAGCCTCCCAGGCCAGTCCCAGGCCTGTCCTCGGGCTTCTGTCCCCGTCCATAATGAAGAGGTGAGGCAGATGAAGAGGGCACAAAAGGTCTTCTGGGGTGCAGGCAGAGGGCGTGCTCCCGATCCCACCTTCTCGGCAGATGGAGGCAGCCACTCCAGGCTGTGGGCAGCATCAGTCACCCCAAGTCATGGACGAGAGGGCAGTGGGCTTCCAGGCAGTGGCTTCCTTCCCTCATCTCAAGGGTTTCTCAGAGCTCTTGCCTTTATAGTGGTTTCCTTCTTTAGAGTCTGGTCCTAGGTGCCAACCTCACTAGTTAAAGCCCCTGTGGGCAGCTCTTCTGGGCTCTTACAAATGGTAAAGCTCTGGGGATGTGTAAAAGAGGGGCATGATGCCCCTTTAGTAAGAGAGAGCATCGTTTGAACCAAAGTATCTAAATTTGCTTGGGTGGTTTTATAATCCATCTATTATCATCCTAAAATTAGCATCTTTTGGAGGTGATGTGATTAGTGGATCTCTCTGGGGATCTGACTTTGTCATATCTGTAGGAGGTTAGGATACCAGGCCAAATTCAGGCCACTACTGACTCGGTCATACTCCCAGTGTCTGGGACCAGAGACACCCTCCCACTCCGCTAAGTAACAGACAGCAGGGTTCTGAGCTACTTTCACTGGGATGCCCCGAGCCAGGCTACTGGGTAGGCTGGTGGTGCTGGTTACTCAGTGACCTCTAAGAGGAGAAAAGCTAGGGATTTGGGATCAGCCTTTGTAGGCTCTTTAGTGGCACCTTCCACAGAGGGGCTGGAGTGCCATCAGGTGGGGAGGGAGATAGGGAGGACGGTGGACTGATTCTTCGCACCTGTAATAAAGCTGACACTTTTTTCCAGAGAGTTCTGTGGCAACCTGACAGGCGGAAGCATTTGCTTGCTGTGTTAGGGAAAAGTGGTGTCATTAGTAGCATTAAAAGGATGAGTGCGTTTTCTCCCAGTGTAAATCAATATATATGTATAAAAATAAGGAGCTGTTACAGGCTATAATTTTCAAAAGACCCAAGCAGAGATACTCCCTCCCTGCCATATCTTACTCTGCCTCATGAGCGGAAGTCGTAGTCTCGCTGTGCACCCGTGGCTTTCTTCGTGCATCTGAGCATGTTGTGACTAAGACCAGATCAGTTCCTCAGAAATCTCCCTCCCTAGTCACTCTGATGCTGTCTGGGATCTTTTTGCTGATTCAGCTTTTCCAAAGATTGAGCCTGAGTATCTCTGGTGTCCGGAGAGTTTGTGGCTCAGCCTTGGCTTTTATTGTCAACATCCAGTGATAAGCCTAGAAGATGCAACAGTGAGTCGAAGCTCCCGCCACCACACCAGATCGGCGGGGATGTGGCCCTCACCTCTCTATCCCCTAGGTGTAGGGCGCTTGCTCAGGCAGTGGGGCCATTTGGAAACAATTCATCCATTGATCGACTTGCTTTCCCACATCTCCAGCTTCTTAGCATTGGGATCCTGAAAGGGGGTCCTTTTCAGTTGAGTAACATCTTTTACCTAGATCCCAGCATGGGGTCCAAACTTGTGCAAAGAAAAGCCATGGAATAGAAGACACTGGAACCAAGCAGAGGAATGAAGCAGCAGCAGTCTGCTGGGTTTGTTTTGTGTTTAAAGACATTGAGATCTGTCAGATGCATTTGTGAGAAGATAGGGCACTTTGTCTTAAGAAAAAAAGGAAGAAGCCCACAGCAGACCTTTCCTGTCAGAACTGTGTGAAGCTCCGTGTTGGAAGCACTACAGCGACCTGGACCCTGTGTTTCCTAACGGGCAGGGGCTTGGAGCTCGCCGTCTGGGCAGCAGAACTAACCGCTGTTTCCTTTAATAATCGTTAAGCCATATCATCTAAGGTTTTCGGCTTGTTGGAGATCTGAATTTGTTTTATAGATTATAAATATACATATACAGTGTATGTATAAAGCAGAATGCCTGTCCTTCCTGATTATTTTTTGTACCATATTGTAAATTATATTATTTATTCTTTACCAATTTTGGGAATAAAAGGTGTTTTGGTTATTTAATATAATAAACAAAAGCTGTTAAACTTATGTTAAAATTTCCAGTTCAACTTGTAAATCCGTTTTTATTATTGTGCATAAATACATACTAATAACTTGATCTAATACTTCTTGTGTGGGCTTGTTTCCTTCTCGGCGGACTGGGCGGGCCGGTCCCCCAACCCCGGGCCCCGCCCCGCCCCACGGCCGCCAGAGGCACCTCCCCAGTGCGCGGTTGGCGCATGCGCCGGGCTCTGGGTGGTCCAGGCGTGCGCCCGAGCAGGGCCCGCCCCCGCGCCGTCCCGCTGCCCAATGTCGGCGCCCGAGCCCTGAGCGGCATCTCTCCTCACCAATCGGCTGCGAGCGCGGCGCGAGCCTCGCCGGGCCTCTGTTCCGGGGGGGCCTGGGTGGGGCCGGCGCCGCGATAGGCTGCGGCCGCGTGACTGGCGTCGCCGGCGTCCAGTGGGCGCGGGCGGGCTGGCCTTGGGCGGCGTGGGGCCGGGCGGGAAAGGCCGCGAGGCGAGCGAGGAGGCGCCGGGCTGTGGGCGACATGTTCCAGGGCCCGGAGACCGAGGGCAGCCGGGCCGGCTCCAGGTGCGTGGCGGGGGTTGCGGGGGCGGTGACCTCACAGCCGCGGCCTCCGTGTCCCGGTGCGAGGGGCGGGCGCTCGGCGGGGTCGGGGCGGGGGCGCCGAGAAGAGCCGTGGAGGGCGGGGGGGCCGGGGGCCGAGGCGCGCAGCCCGCGCGGCTCCCCGGGCCCGCTCTCCTTCCGCGTCCAGCGCGCCCGTCCTCTGCCCGGAGCCGGGGACCATGCGGGTGTGTGCGGGGCCGCGCCCTCCGCGACCCTGTGCTGCCGCGCGTGGGGGTCCCCGTCCTGGGCGCCCTCGGGGTCCCGGTCCCCTGAGCCGCAGTCCCCGCCCCTGACCCCGGTACCCCCCTGTGGCCACAACCCCCGCGGCCACAACCCCCGCCCCTAACCCCGGTCCCCCTGGGGCCGCAGCCCCCGCCCCTAACCGCGAGCCCCCTGGGGCCGCAGCCCCCGCCCCTAACCCCGGGCCCCCTGGGGCCGCAGCCCCTGCCCGTAACCCCTGTCCCCCTGTGGCCACAGCCCCTGCCCCTAACCCCGGGCCCACTGTGGCTACAGCCCCCGCCCTAACCCCCGTCCCCCTGTGGCCACAGCCCCCGCCCCTAACCCCCGTCCCCCTGGGGCCGCAGTCCCCGCCCCTAACCCCGAGTCCCCTGAGGCCGCAGCCCCCGCCACTAACCCCTGTCCCCCTGGGGCCAGAGCCCCCGCCCCTAACCCGGGGCCCCCTGGGGCCGCAGCCCCCCCAACCCCTGTCCCCTGTGGCCACAGCCCCCGTCCCTAACCCCTGTCCCCCTGGGGCCAGAGCCCCCACCCCTAACCCTGGGCCCACTGTGGCCACAGCCCCTGCCCCTAACCCCTGTCCCCCTGGGGCCAGAGCCCCTGCCCCTAACCCTGGTCCCCCTGTAGCCAGGGGCCCCCTTAGGCCAGGTGGTGCCCTACCCTGGTCCTATAGTTTGGGGACCAGGCAGTGTCCTCCCTCCACTGCTAATGGAGAATCAAGCCAACTGCAAGTAATAGAAGCAGAAATCCAGTTGTAGGCTGGGACTGGGCTCCAACACCCCGGACAAGCTTAACTTCTACTGGCCTGTGGGTCGCCCGGGAAATTAGAATTGCCAGAGCTCGAGAGAAGGTCTGCCTTGGCCCTGGAGGAGCCACCTTACTCTGTAGATCGCAAGGGGCTTAGGTGCCCGTGAGTTTTCTTTACTGTGATCCTCTTCTTCCCCTAGCCGTGCCCTGAAAGTAGAGACTGTGTATGTGACAGCTGTTGAGTGAATACCATGTAGGGTGGCTAATTAGTGAAAGAACTGCTTTGACTTGTAGTTGTAAGTCAAATCCTGTAAGTCTGGAGGGATTAGGTCAGCGTTCAGTAACACACCTAAGTAATTAGTCATCAGAGCGTGGAACAATGAGTAGCAGTCACACGTCCAGATGTGTACTGATGAGGGCCGGAGACGCAAAGCCGAGCGCTCCGAAAGCATCCAGGTACTGGTGCTCGAAACCATCCAGGTGCTTCCCGGCTCTCCCCCTCCTGTCCTCTGGGTTCATCCCGTTTGTCCACACGGCCTGGCACCGGATGCCCAGAGAACATTGGAGTTCATGAATAAATGCCCTAACGATGGTGTCACGTTGACTCTCTTAGTTTCAGAGCCCTTGCTCTAAAGTAACAGCCCACGCTGCTTCGTGGGACTGGTTTTGGAGAAGGGATTACGGAAAGGAGGTTGAAGAAGTAAAGCATTCTGCTTGGCTGGATGAGTAAACATAATTAGAAGCTTCTGCTTAGGATCCGTCAGACGGTTTGTGTTTGAGCAGCCATCTTAAAGGAATTGGTTCGCTGGACGGGCCTTGTAAGGCCTCACATCACATTTGGCTGTTGAGGGAGGGAGTCAGGTGGGTGGTTGTAGGATCGCCTGGCCAGGATTTCCGCTTTTAAGGCCCTGCAGCTTCTGTTTTCTTGCTGAGGGGTTATCTTGTGTTAAAGGGACTTTGAACTGTCAAAAGGCATCATGCTTCAGCCATCCCTGGTCTGAGGTCATCCCTCAGCTATAAAGGATTTATCCAAGTCTCAGCAGTCCCCAAAAGCTTTTCTGAAACACAGGCAGCAGCTCTCGGAGGGAGGATCAGGAACTAGAGGTGAGAGTGGCTTTTGTTTCCCTACCTCTGCTGGTGCCATCGTCCTCTTGAGCTGTATCTGTGGCTTTTCTTTGTTATGAGGCTTCTGGCTCCTCTTGTGTACTCTGACTTTATTAGCATATGTTGAGGGATAGAGAAGAAGGGGATGTAACCGCAACCCCCCAATGCTCAGAGCATTGTAAGTTCTGAGCTCACTAGTACCCCCGTCTCCTCCCTGTAATCAGTGTCCTGGTGGTAACCGCCCTTGAGTGGGAGCCTGGTGAAGGCCACACTGAGCCATTGTTGTGGGTTCTGTTTGTATCAAAATAACCTCTTTGGGGGGCCGGGGTGGCCCTCCCAGCGGTTTAGTGCTGCCTTCAGTCCAGGGCGTGATCCTGGGGTCCCGGGATCGAGTCCCGCATCGGGTTCCCTGCATGGAGCCTGCTTCTCCCTCAGCCTGGGTCTCTGCTTCTCTCTGTGTGTGTCTCTCATGAATAAATAAAATCTTAAAAAAAAAAAAAAAACTCTTTGACTCTTAGTCCCCGTATTTGAGACCCTGTTGGGGCAGCCGCTGCGATTTGCATGACTGCTACAGGCCGGGAGACCCTAGCACCCACCCCGTTGTATTTGTGATGAAAGTGTCGCTGTCCCTTTCCAGGTAGCTTGGCCATTATGCACAGCGGTCCATCTGCTACAGCTTTCTTCGCTGCCACTTTTCTTCCCTTGTTTTCAAAGTAAAGTATAGTAAAGTTCAGGGATTCCAGGTGGCTCAGTGGTTGAACGTCTGCCTTCAGCGCAGATCATGATCCCGGGGTCCTGGGATCCAGCCCTGCATTAGGCTCCCTGCTCCGTGGGGGAGTCTACTTCTCTCTCAACCCCTGTGTGTATACGTGCATGTGCACGCTCTCTCAAATCTTTAAAAATAAAGTAAAATTCAGAAAAGTACACAGAATAATGTAATAAACATTGTATTTCCACCACTCCAAATTAACATTTGGTCATTTCCAATAACCCTGCTTTGCATCCTTTGCCTCAGGGTACCCTTCCCACACAGAGACCACAAACTGGGCCGTGTCTCCTCCACAGAGATCTCTGGAATTCCAGTAAGACTCAGCGCTCCGTGGCATCACTGATAGGAGCACTAGAGGGCCCAGCCCACCCACCCCCCCTGCTCCAGGCACAGGACTTGCTCTCACCCATATTTCTGTGCACAGGGTCAGATGCAGGCTTCCAGCAATGGGTGCTTAGGGCCTGTGCTGAGAGTGAAGCCAGGGTGCAGGGCAGAGGGGACCGGGAGATGGCAGGGATGCAGAATGAGTCCTAAAGAGCTCTGAGTCAGGACAAGTCAGCGTCATATTGGAGCAGGACCTGAAAGGTTAAAAGAGCCATGTTTCAAATAAGTGTAAAATAGGGATTTTTAAATCAGCAGGAGGCTTGATGTTAAATTCAGTTCAGTTCTGAAGATTACACATCCCCACCCCCCTTTCCAAAGAGATGGCTGTGGAGTCCCAAGCGTGTCGGACCTGCTGTAGCCAGCCACAAATCTGGAGACTGTCACTGTGACCAGTGATTTATAAATGGTTGCAGAAGTCAGCTGGCCCTACCGTGGCCACTAACAAAATGTGTGACTCGAGGTCTTGTTAATACTTTTTTGTTTTTAAGATTTTATTTATTTATTCATGAGACCACACAGAGAGAGGCAGAGACACAGGCAGAGGGAGAAGCAGGCTCCATGCAGGGAGCCTGAGGTGGGACTTGATCCTGGGACCCCCGGGGTCACGCCGTGGGCTGTAGGCAGATGCTCAACCGCTGAGCCACGCAGGGATCCCTTCTTAATACTTTCTGAATTTAAGTGTGGTTAGTGGTTTTTTTTTCCCTTTTTTTCTTTTTTTTTTTTTTTTTTAATTCTTTTTCTCAAACTGAAGTGACTTTTTTCCTTCATCAAATTATCGAGGAACTACTAAGTGCTGAGTCAGCAGCCAGGGACCCGGCGCCGTGTGGGAGGCCTGCCAGCTTGAGCTGACTTCGTGGTTGATGAGCCCGGGCTAGGCTGGCTCACTGTCTGCCCTCTCTAGCGCGGAGGGGTGCTTCTGCAGGCCTGGTTTGCAGCCAGAGAGCCTGACAACCCCCTTCGCCTTAAATTACAGCAAATGATCGACTCCCTTTCTGGTTGTTTTGAGGAAACCGGAAACATTTCAGATGCCCTGTTCTTCTTGTGAACAGTCGTGGGCAGCGTTTGTGCAGTGTCGTGGCTTTCACGCGACATGGAGCTCTGCATTTGGAAGTCCGTCTCCGTGTCTGCAGTCCCAGCCAGCCCTGTTGCCGAGGCCCCAGGAAGGAGCATAGGCCTCTCACCAGTTGAAAATTTTTAAAGATCTCTGTGGGTTTTCTGAAAAGATGCACAGGGCCCCGGCCTGTGACTGCTGTGCTGGTG